ATATAATTACTAGATCTTAGTTACTATTAGTTAGATTTAAGATAATAAATAGATTAATAGACTAAATAAAAGTCTAATTAGTAATCTAATCTATAAAATAGGATCTACTAAAAGAATTACTAAAGAAAATAGACTAATCTATATTCTATAGAAACTATAGTATAAGACTATATAATAATACTATAATAACTTTATATATAAGTATATAGAATTAGAAAAAATAATAGAAACTCTATTAAGGAACTACTATATCTTAATTAAATATAAGAAGATTAGAAATTATATTAAATAGTATAATATTTATTAATAAAATAAGTCATTATAATATATTCTATATAGTAGGTTATAGAACTTAGAGGTACTAATATAACTATAGGAATAGATTATATTAGATTTTATTACTAAATTACTAAAACTAGAAGAATATAATATTTCTATTATTTAGATATATATTTATTAACTATAGAATATATAAAAAGATAATATTAAATAAAGATAAGTTTTTTATAAATAAAATATAGTAATTATTTATAGATATTATAGATATTAAGTATAGACTCTCTACTATCTACTATCTATAAATAAATAACTAAATAGAATAAATAAACAAAATATTAGAGTAATATCTAAGATATTATATAAATTACTAGTATAATAATTAAATAGAATTATTACTCTAATATAGATAATTATATTAGTAGATCTTTTACTCTTTTTTTTACTAAATTATAAAGTCTTCTTTATCTATTAGTAATATTACTAAATTAATTAGTAGTAATCTATTAGATTTTTAATAAGTTTCTATATATTCTCTAAAATATTATATTTTTTCTATTTTACTAATTAGTAAGATTTTCTACTAATATATTCTATACTTAGGATATTTTCTACTTTATATTTATTCTTAGTTTCTTTCCCTATTTCTATATTTATAGTAAATTTAGTATTTTCTAGTATATTTTTAAGTAATAAAATATAAAAATTTATATAAATATATTATATATTATTAGATAGCTTTAAGTAATAATTAATTAGTTATATTTTTTCTTTAATTTTAAATAGTTATAACTTTAAGTAGTTAAATTTTAAACTTAATTAATTAGTTTTAATATTCTAATATATAAAGTATATTTTCTCTCTTTTTTAAAGTCTAGTTTCTTCTAGTAGTCTTAACTATAGTAGTACTTTATTTATCAGTTAAAGAATTTAATATTTTTTACTAGTTAGAGATATAACTATTTAAGTTCTAAGACTAAAAGTTTTAATAACTCTATCTCTACTTATCTTCTAATAGTTTCTCTAATAATTAAAGAACTATAAATAATTTATAAAGAATAGAGTTTCTTTTATAGTTATATATATAGTATTATTATATATAAATTATATAGATAGTAAGATTTTTAGATATTACTATAAAAATCTAATAGTCTATATTAAAGATATAATTAATTTTCTTAGAAATAGTATAGAAAGATTTAATCTTATACTTTTTTTACTTAGACTTAATATACTCATTCTTAAAATACTATAATTTCTTAAACTCATAATATTTAAGTTTCTCTAACTTAGTAATTTTTTAATATTTATAAATAATAAAGTTACTAGTATATTTTTTTAATAATCTTTTCTAATTCTATAGATATACTAGTTTAGTTAGTATCTTTTATTAAGTAAGAAGAATTTTTTCTTTCTATTTTCTAATAAGATCTAGAAAGTTAGTAGTTAATACTACTTAGTATTAATAAATAATTTTAAAATATTTTATATTCTATAGTACTACTAATATAATAATAAGAATAGTTAGATTAAATATATATTTTATTCTAGATAATATAATAATAATAAGAGATAAGAGACTTAAAACTCTTATACTTAATTAGTTAGTAAAGTTTATATATAGAGATATCTAAAAAAAGTATAATTAGTATATATTAGAAAAATAGAGTAGAAAATAAAAAGACTAATATCTACCTAAGAAAAGTAAGTAATTTTACAGAATTCTTAAAAATAAGAACTAAGAAAAAAAAAGAGATAGTATTATAGACCTTATAATAAGAGACTATAACTTACTAATAGATACTTAAATAATCCCTAAAACTATTGATTAAGAATAATTAAGATAAGATATATAAATAGATATTCTTTCTACTATTATCTATATTATACCTAAAAATATAAAATATAGTAAAGAATTATATAATATCCTAATAATATAATAGAATCCTATCCTATTAATAGAATAAAAATCCTATCTATAGAATAGAAAATACTAGATATATATAGAATACTCTTTATATACTTATATTTAGTTCTTTATAATTAATTAATCTAAATTACTACAGTTTACCTTTAGATTACTCTTTATTCAGTTTTATCTCTTATAATAAATATACTATAAGTAGGGAAACTCTTTAGACTAACCTACTTAATACACTACCTAGTACCTTCTTCGAAGTTACTCTACAGAATCCAAGTCCGTATAAGACTTAGCACAGTAACAGTACGATTACAAGTTCAGACTTAAGGAGTACAAGTAATAGATATCACAGACAACCAACGACATAGAGAACAACTAGTAAGTTATTTACCCCTGATCTAACCACTCACCGTGACCAGTCAGCTACGTGTAACACTTCAGACCCCTGTATATTACTGCCAGCATGTACATCTAGCCACCGAGGTGCCTCGGCCAATTGGGCTTTCTTTAGCGATCTACACTAGGCAAAACCAGCACGAGAGCACAGAGGACCCTCTCAGCACCGTACGGTCTTGCGGCAGCATGTGCTCTCTCAGTGGACCGTTAACCGTGGCTCGAAGGGTCCCTTTTTGCATAACATAGTACAAATCACTACTTAAAAGAATAAAATTACCTAATTAGGTCTATTTTTGCGTTAAGATATTACCTAAGAGGGTCCAAGGTCAGAATTCGGGCCTTGGCGCTTTGGCACGTCTGAATTGAGGGTGAGTGCTAGTTTTACCTGCTTAGGGAGAAATTGAAGCGGCTGCGGCGTAATTGAATAACCGACCACCCCTGAAAGCCTCGATAATACTTTAACTTCTGGCAGTTTGGTGTCACTTATTCGTGGGATTGATTTGGTGAATGTTGTTGTACTAGGAATGGATATTAGGTCAAGGTACTGAAGATGAAGAATATGAGAAAAATATCTCGTTTCCAATTTAGGCATTCACTTTGATGGATTTCTGATTGGGAAGCCGCAATAAGTGTAGGATAATGTACTATCACTTCCTTTTTCGCATCCTTTCATTAATTCCTGCGCTCGCGCACGACCTTGTTTTCATGTCCTCCTTACAAATGATCTGATTTTCGGGCCACGGTAAGAACGCAGTAAGCTACGCGCCAGCTTAATTTGATGATGTGATATAGTTACAATAAGCGGGGTCAATTTCTCTACACACCACTCTCACGCTCCCTTAGTGATGCAATGCTGCTTATCTTGGCGCAGAAATCCGCCATTAGCCGACACTAATGCAGCCGGGATTAAAGTTGTTACATCATAATTTCTCGCCTAAGATATGATTTGTACTTTAGCAATCAATGTTCCTTGTTTAGAAGTAAGGGTACTGACCACGGCGTCTAATCTCGGGTGACTGACAAGGAAAAAGAGCGTACTTTTCAAGTTACTGGATATGACCATCGATTGGAATTTATTTGCAATGCGGTGATATGCTATTAAGGGACTTTCGAAATTATTATCAAAATGGCAAAAAGGGTTGAATGACACTGAGTCCCGAGGTGGTCTTTCACTAATACAAGCTACCTGGTGTTTGTGACTGAGCTTGTCCATAGCTGGCTATAAATCTAGGGAAAGATCCACCTTCTACCTGGCTTCGTTTGGTTTCTTCATACCAAACTAGACGACCTGAATAACAATATATACCAACAACGCTCTATTTCATACCATTGCTTTTATCTCTCTGATTAGCAAGATCACCATGAAGGCAAGCACAAACCTTTCAAGCCCCCGTGTCCTCAATATTAGCCCTTTCGGAGATTAACAAACAGTATCACGAATAGCCCAGCACTCTTTTCACCACCCTCCTTGCTTTTCTGCTCACAGGCATCGCCTTTGCCTCCGTCATCCCTGCATCTCCAGAGCCTAACTTCCTTCGCCGTGCCGACAAGGATTAGGAACTTGTCATCTATCGGGACGTCGAACCAAGCGGGTAATGTGGTGGGACATCCTCGAAAGTCAGCGGACCCGGAAACGGAGCCTGCCACAATTTCAAACAACTGGATGTGTCGATTTGAAGCTTCGAACTGGAATTTTCGACTGCGACTTTCAGTTTAAAACCAACTCTTGCGATGAGAAACCTGCGAACAGACTCCATGTTCAGCAAGGTGCTGTCACGGACGGTTATCAGGTGCCGGATATTAAATTTGTTACTTTTACTTGTAATGACAAGCCGCCGAGTGTTGAATGAATGGGAACAGGTAAATGACCTGCTATTCCAGGTGAGCCTGCTATGAACTGAGCCGAAATTTTCCTGTTCGTATTATTGTGTGGATAAAGCGCGTGCTGTAACATGAGCTATGGTCAAACAGAAGACAAGGATGATAAGATATAAGGGCTATTATAGCAAGTCCACGTAAATGAGGCCGTTATTGCCTAATCGCAGGTATTGTAGATTATGTTCACTTATAGTAGGCAGATAAGGCATTAATAAGGACATTTAAGCATGTTATTGTTCGATTCAGATATTTTACGTATGACTAATGCATACTTTTAGAAGCCACATGATCTGACTGACAAATCTCGTAAGTGTGAATGCATTTTCCTATTTCTGACGGGCCGCACCCAATTTCCCTCCTCCCCCCCTCCTCCTCATCTCTTCCTCCCTTCCTCCCCCCTCCTCCTCATCTCCTCCCTACGTCTATTTGAATTAGTTTCTGCTCTCTCCTTATCGCCACCCACTCTCAGTCTCTGAAGTAGCATCTCAAAGGACGTTTTCTTCCGTTTGGGCTCTACTTACTGCCAAACATGTCTACTCTTCAAAACCAGAACACCAAGTCTCAAGCAGTCAAGATAGAAAGTGCTCAGACAGGACTGGCAAAACAGGAAGCCTCAAACGGTACATGCCCTATCCATCCGAACCCCCGTCCAAATAACAAGCTAATACGTAATAGGTGGCAAAGAAAACGCTACACCACGTGGGTCAAATGATTTTGTCGGAAATGACAGTCACTCCAATCCCAATGCCCTCGAGCAAGCAGATGCACATGATAACTGCGATGCTGATTGGGAGGTAGTCAGCAGCGCCCAGTGTGGCGAAAAAGACAGCAATCAAGTGTTCCATGGGCATACAGGACATTTTAGCGTTGATGTGGGTTGGGGTAAACGAAAAACATCGGCTGTATTCTAGTGACTGGAGCTTTGGCCATCATCACCAACATCGTGATGATAGACATGGTGAGGGAGGTACTCAGTGATACCGGCACTTAAGCGTAATATCTATCATTCTGCTTTAATTGTGATCCAAAATATTATGAAATTAAACCAGGATATGCCAGTTCGGGGGACTCAGTGGGCATTGAGCAGCTGGCTGAATTGCCTGAGTTGACTTTGCTGCCTAAAATGAAAGATAACAAGCGTCTAAATCTTCGCTGCCAAACGAATGTCATCATAATTTGGCCTCCGATAGAGGCGTCAGCACGATTGGCAACAAGGAATTATAGATAAATTGATTGCCAATATTAAAATTATCATGTTCAGCAAAGGTTGGAGCTTAGTCTGGCAATGCATGCGAGCTGTCACATGCCAAGGCTTCTTTCCTGGTCGATACCAAGGGATCGGAGGCCTGCTGTTGTGACCACTAAACGGTAGATCACTGGGGACCTACCCTAAACCTAACAGAACATGAGCTCTGAAGAGATAGCAAGTAACTTCTTCCTGTCCAGATGTCGCTTCATGTTGGATAGGGGAAAGCTAGAATGGCAATATATAGTATATTCCCCTGGTTAAAATACATGTTGCTTCACCTACTAAATCTGAGTTGTGGTTTCGGTCAAATATATGCACGATTCTATTGGGGAAACCTATTATCGGTCGTTCAAAAATGCGACTCGAAACAGTGGATAGTGGCGTTGTTAACTGCCAGACTTCTACATTATATATTACGCTATTTCTGCGATGTCATGATCCTTCCCGAAAACCCAAATGGATTCCCTGACTGAAATTGTCTAATTCCTTGATTCGTAGAGGTTTTGCGAAGTATTCGTTGATCAGATTTGACGGTATTGTGGATTCTTCGACTTCAGAAGCGCCTGGCTGTAGTGGCTCTGTAAGCCTGTGCCAAGGTCCATCTACACCATAAGGCTTGCTCCAGAAAGTCACTGCATATTTCGTAGGCTGTTCGGCTCGTGACGGTGACGTTTGGATTGCGACAGAAAAGTGGTGAATTCGAAGGTGCTCAGGGGGAAGTATACTCTCCTGAGGGAGGCCTTCATCGATGAATTATTTATTACCTGCCTCCTCTATGTCCATAATGCGGGAGAAGATTTCAAGATACTTCTCTGCATCAAGAAGCCACTCGCGACCGCATATTTTCCTAAATAAGTCCAGAACCCAGCGACGAAGACGCGGCCATCGACATTTCCAAGCTAATGCACTAGATTATAGTTTTGATCTATAACTAGAAATCTAAATTTATAGAATCTAATCTAATATTTTTTAAGTCTAATCTTAGAAACTAATCTCTTTAATTTTATCTCTTAAAATTTTATTTTATTTCTTAAAATTTTATTTTATTTTTCTAAATTAAAAATAGTTAGTTTTCTAGTAATTAGTCAAGTAATATTTAAAAAAATATTTTATAAGAAGATTTTTCTTAGTTTTTATATTAAATTAGAGTTTAATTAGTCTTAGTTTCTATAAGAGTCCTAATTATCTTATAAAATAATTTTTTTTCTATATAATCTTCTAGAATCTCTATTCTTATCATATTTATTATTGTTTTTCTATAGATAAAAAATTAATTTTTTCTTTTAGGATTCTAGTAAGATTTTTATATCTTTTTTATATTTTTATTTTTAACTTATTTAGAAAGTTTTCTTAAAATTATACTAATCTTATACTATACTTACCTATTCTTTTTAGATTTTAAATATACCCTTTATAAAATAATATATATTTACTAGTAAATATTACCTAAGTTTACTATAGAAATAGTATACTTATTCTATTTTAGATACTAGAAAAATAATTATTTAATTATAATAAATTATTAATATAATAGATTTAATTCTTTATCTTTTTGCTAATAAATATTTTAAGACATTTAGCTAGAAAAATCCTTTTTCATTAGATAGAAGATAAATAGTCTAATCTATAAAATAATCTATAATCTTCTAGTATTATTAAGTTATTTTTGTTCTTTTTCTTTTTAACTCTATTCATATCAATATTCTAAGTCTAGATATTTAATTTCTTTTAGAATCTTTATAGTATTATTCTTAAAAGTACTAGAATTATGTCTCAAAAATATATTTAATCTTAGTTAACTAGATATCCATCACATAGGTTAAATGACTTAGTAAACTTATCTATCTCAAATAAGTCTATCTTACTTTTTAGTCTATAGTTATACATAAGTTAAGATAAAAAGTGTCTTATTATTTTTCTATTTTTAAAATCTCATAATCCTACTTGAATTATTAGACACACTTGGCCATGAAATGTATTATTCCCGGACTAGTAGTTTTCATTTTCTTCCATACCTAGGTACACCTGGGCACTCTGCCTATCGCTGCTAACAATAGACTCAAAGAGCCTCAATCCTTAAAAAAGATGGGGAGCAAGAATATGTGGTCAGGGGTAGTCTTTAGACAAATATTGTAATCAAAACATGTTTGGAGAACTCTCCGAGTCAGAATAGACATTGATCTAGTCCTACTCGTCAACATTATATATAGGACTCCACAAAAGATCTTCGTTATCATCTGGATCATCCACATCCTCGGAATTAGGAATTATTTCCTCAATGCCTGTGATTTCCTTGAGTCCCGACAAGCCCGAGACAAATGACACGACCAAGGCATCAATATGCACATCCCACTTCTTGCACTTCCCTTTCTCATACCCCCGAATGCAAAGGTACTCCAGACTCTCGGGGAGGACCTCTGGCAACAAAAATGGTTTTCTTGGCCCGTTATTTTCTCTGATACCCATGGCAAAATATACTAAAAAGCCGATGCCAACACTCAATCGCTTTAAGGTCCGGAACTCCTTCAGTGACTTGCTGGTACTTGAGGAGGACCGGAGCATTTGGCGTTCATCATCATCGTCATCATCGGTTTCGAGCGATCTTTCGTCAATTCTCTGGTCAACTTGATCCTGCTCGAAATAATCGGGGTGGAAATAGTGCATATTGCGCTCGGCGTCGATATCCAGGATTTCCAGTGTGTCTTTGTGCGGGTAAATTGATTTGATGAAAGTCTTGGCATCGAACGGTGAATACCAACCTCCTAACACGCACCGACCACCGATGGTGTACTGAAATTCTCGCAGTACTTTGCAGGACTGAATAAGAGAGACAAGGAATTTTGAAGGCAAGGAAGAGTGGGCAATACGGATCCTGCTAATATTGGACGATCTGGGCTCTAGCACTACGCGTGCCTCGCAATTTTCGTCGTCACAGAGGGCATCGGTGCTAATGGATTCAATAGACGGGAGGTTGTCGAAAAGCGTTGCGCATTCCAAGAAGTCGATGGCCATGTAGTATCGGTCATCCGAGTCCTTATCGTCGACTATCATGTACACCTTGCGTAGATTTTGAAGATACGGAGCACTAGTCGGTTTCGCATTGGCCTGACGGAGAAATCGATGGAGGGGGAAATGGTCATCCTCGTCCAGGAGCCTCTCGCCACCCCTGCAGAATCCAGAGAATACACTGAATGGCTGTGTCATCACTAGAGACTCCAGATTGGGTGACACCGAGATGAGAATCGCGGCCAATGCCTGCGCAATGAAGGTGCCATGAATCTGACCTTCGCTGTTCGTCTTGTAAGTGCTCAGCCAAGCAATCAACCAGGAGGAGGCTTTCTTACTTGTATCCATAAGCGGAATTTGAGAACATGAGAGACTCATTGTTTTCACCTGGAGGCCTCGTGGTGTTTTGCATAAGCATGTTGAGCACCGCTGTTTCTTGGGGGCCAGCAAATCCCGCCTTCCGCACAGCCGCGTGGAGGAGATTTCTGTCACACGCACTGAGGGTGCGTTGCTCTGCAGTCTGGACGTAGCTGTGATCCATACTGGGCTGTCTAGTCTGAACGATCTCCCGTACATAGTTTCCCAGCTTAGGGTTCTTGAGAATCTCCATCATGAGGTCAAAAGTCTTGTTGATGCTGTGATCTTTCGGGTGAACACGGATCTGGTAGTACCGCTCGCGTGTTTTCATATCGCACAGCCGATGTATTGACCGACATGACTGCGATAGAGCGGCCAGATCACCAATTAATGATACGCGGGGAATAACCATAGCTTGTATCTCGAGTGGAAGGGACAGAAAATCCATATTGGAGATGTATAATAATATTTTGCCGATCGGGGTCGCGGGTTCCATTTTATTTTGGGCCGCGCCCCACTGGATACACTAGTCAAGGCACTAGTCAAGGCATCCATATGCTTGCCTTTGGAAAGTATCTACTGAAAATATTTTGTATTTGTTGGTGTCTGTGCTGGATAATAGAGCTGCGGGTGATTCTCTTATCAGAAACATCGTCTTCAAGTGGAGTTTCATGAATCACTTCACAAAATTCCGGCTCTCAGCTATCGCATGACCGAAATTCTAAACCCTGCCATCATCGTTGAAAGGAGTTTAAGTCATTCCCCAAGATAGAAAATGGCACTCAGGTGTCTATTAACACATGGGGATAGATATAAGCTTCCACCAAGTGCGTTACAGGTCGTCAAGAAGAGAGGGCTAACCTGCTGCATTGAAGCTGGGCTCACTATGGTGAGTTCCGTAGTAGCACGTCTTGCTGTTGGTATCTGTAGAAATGACGAGAAGAACGCAGAACAAAGGTGTTGGATTGGAAGATATCCTTTTGGAATTTTATCTCGCTATATAGTAGCGTCCTAAAATTAACCTCGCTTGATAGATTCACAGGGAATACCATCAGCAGTTCACTGCATGAAGGCGCTGCCCCAGGCAACGTCGATAGGGGGATACATACACTGGCGGTTGATCGTGGCTGAAAAATAACTTGACAGCCTCACTGTTTTGAATTATATCTAGTTGATCCATCCATACGGGTTGGTCACATTACTTTTTCGGCCACGCCCGCGATCAACTGGAACCTGGCTCACCCTGTATACTGCGCACTCACTCCAATCAATCGAGTAGGGCTTCAGTAAAGTGGCTCTCACCCCTTCTATCTGCTATATGAATCTATTCTAAGCAACGTCTGGTACATACGACCATAGGGTGTGGAGAACAGGGCTTCCCGTCCGCTCAGCCGTACTTAAGCCACACGCCGGCAGGTTAGTAGTATGGTGGGTGACCACATGCGAATCCCTGCTGTTGTATGTTTTTGTTTTTTTGCTCTGCTTTTCTGAATTGAAACAAGACTCTAAAATTCTGTAACAAATCATAATCAATCAATTGATCAATTTATCTTAGGATAAGTTTGTTTCTCTTTTCAAGAGGTGGTAATAGACTGCGGAAAGCCCGCGGGTATGTTTAGGACATGCTCAATTTACGGGCGAAGGTATTGGGAGGCCTGGTTTATCAGAGGTTTAAAGCAATCGAAATTTAATTCATTGATTGTTGTTTTTGTGTAGTGTGTAATGCACCAATCTGATGTTTGGTAAATAGAGCTATATACCCAATTCGAAGATAGAACATCACAACTTTGATTGGTGGGTTTAGATTAAATTAAAGTCTTCCCATCACCGCCAGGGTCAAGCATAGTTTCTCCCCCCAATCGCCGAAGCACTAGATGAGCTTCTTGCAACAACTCCCACCGACACCCAATTAACGCATCCCTTACAGCCCTCATCAAACCGGCGATATGGTTTGTCCCGCGAATGACTGGGCTCGCCGAATTATCCTGCTTCATCGCGCGTGTCATTCGAATCATGTATTCCTCGGCTCCAACAGTAGATCCACCGTCCGAGGAAGGACCCTCCGTGACCAGGCCGTAGACCCAAAGTGCTAAAACTGCAATGTATAAGCACCAAGGCCGCGGCGCAACGTTATCTTCACGGGCTAAGTAGCGCTTCCCGCTGAACATAGTTTCCTGCACTAGGAGAAGTGCATACCGACAAGCGCTGCGTGAGGATCCAGTATGGGCCCAGAGCTGCAGACGTGCCAGGGCCTTGGTTGTGTTTGTGTTAATGAGGGAGGCCCCAGAATCAGTATTCAGATGCGAAGGGCCAGCCAGCAAATACGGGTCCATGGCGACAGTGTGAATGTCAAGGACACTGACATGTAGTGTGATTTGTGCAACACGGTGCAAGGGGCGGGCCGCTTCGAGGCACAGCGATGGCTGCAGGGAGAAGAGAGATGTGGACCAGGTGTTCAGAGCCGTGTCAACAGTATTTGCCCAGACGGGGGTGCTGTTACTGCTGTTACTGATACTACCTAGACAGTTGGGGTGGTGGGAATTCTGGGTCGTCACATGGGCGTGCAGCTTTCCCATCTCGATCCCAAGCGTTAAACGTGAACCAGCCTGAAGATGGGTCTGCAGACTCATAAGCCCATGCAAAAGCACGAACCTCGCATATTCACTGCAGTGTGGCGGGACCTCATTCTCCCGGAGCAGGGACTTGAGAGTCGGCAAAAAGAGTGATGCGGTCATTTCTGGTCGATTCAGCGCTTGCCATGTCTCTGCCGAGAGAGACTCCCACGTCGACTCAAGGCAAGGAAGCGCGATTCGCATATCAATCACCGAGAGTACGGGGGAGTGTCCGAATACACAGGCATGCTGGGCATCCATGACAAACGCGAAAAACGCGGTCCGGCGCCAAGATTCTTCGTTTATCCAGCGGCGCCAGCTTGTCTGGAGGAGCTCATTTGGCTCTGCTGGCTGTGAAGTTGAGGCTTTGAGATATATACTCCCTCTTTTCATCATCTGCCCCGCAAAAGTCAAGCTTCGTTAGCCTGAATGGTATGTGGAGAGAGGGCGTGTAGATCAGATGAGGGACCCACAGTGAGGATTGTTCCGTGAAATATATGTGCCATCTCATAGTTTTTCCGTGAAGAGATCATTTTTCCATAAGCTTGTACTAGGAGGAGAGCTTGGAGGCACCAGAGAGGGATGGGGGGGCTCAAATAATCCGCTCTGCAAGCAAGTCTTAATTCAAGAACAGGATGTGCAAGGGGAGTTGGATCGGTAGCGTACGTTGAGAATGATCAGCCGCAAAGAATGGTGAACCTGCTGCCCGAGATAAAAAAGCGTCTCATCCATCGCCATCGCAGAACCTAGATTTAGGATTGAAATCAGAAGGAGCGGATGGCAAGTAATTACCGAGAATGTTGCTTGGTGAATTATGGGAAAATGCGGGTGGTAGTTTTTGAAATAGAGATCGAAAAAATGTCTTGAGGTTGTCAACCTCAAAAAATGACGAGGTCAAGACTCGAATATCGAGCTGATTGAGAGAGTTAAGGATGTTGGATCGTGCAAAATTCCAGTCATTATCTTGCTCGTTGTTAATATTCATAGGAAGATTCAAGGTCTCTCCATCTGTATCATTTCTCGCTACTTGATTATCTGCATCGCGTGCCGTAGATAAGTCGGTTTCGAATTCGACCAAAGGAGGGTCAATCAAGTCGCTAATATCCTGCAGAGGTTCAAAAAACCAATCTAAGCCATCTTGAACGGTGGGAACTTGAGCGCATTCTGCCCAGAAAGAATCCAGGCTGCTATCTTTAGTCGCGAATAGCACGTTCTTTTCTGAAGTAAGTGTCTCTTCTTCGGGCATACTCCCTGCATTCTGTATCTGAATTCCAGAGATGTGGTGATCCTGAAGCGGTTCAGATATGCCTGTTTTCTCATTTGATGAAGATAAGGTGGAGGAGGATGGCGGATGAACAATTCCCCCAGTATTTCTGAAAAACATGCCCTTTGCATGGCGTGACTTATGTCGGCGATAGAGGTCTTGCCGAACAAATGATTTAGGACAGATATCACATGAAAATATTTCCGCTGGCTGGTCTACATGCATCATTAGTGTTGTATCTCGAATGCAGTTTCGCCTTTGAGATCTCTTACGATTGAGACGGTGCCGTTGAAGATGCTCCTGGCGGATAAACGACCGCCCACATCCTGGCTCCTTACAGTTGAAGGAGCGCCGGGTTCGCATCCTTGGACTCTCCATGCTGAAATTTGAACCCCACTATGAGTATTCCATGGAGAATAATGTAATTTGCTGTAACGGGCCAAAAGTGAGTAGCTCGAGATTGCGGGGGGCGGTTCCCCTCTTTTACTCACCGCGCTACAGTACTTAACGATCTCGGCTAATGTGGCTGGCATCGAATAGGAAGTCTAGAGCGATTCTAAGCGATGTTTATGCTTTCGATTTGAGGACCATAAAAGACCTTTCAATAGTGTTATCGGCGAGGGGTATTCCCACCAATGAACGGGCAACACTAGAAGGATTTGAAGCTATGGGACCTTGCACTTGGGAATAACAATCTCCCTTATCAAACCAATCTCACCGATCCACCATAATTCTACCTTTTTAGGCATTTAAGTCGCTGTGTGTTCCAATCTTTCCTTCATCACCCTCGACGTAAACGGTCTCCTGTCCCGCGTGCGCAGGCGCATCCTCAATCGACCACACAAATGGGATCACCCAGACCAAAGCAAATACAATAAATGCCCAATCTACCGCGAACTCCACATTGTAGTTTGTCTTTGTAGAATTGACCTTGGAGGCAATCGCGCTGCCCACTGCCTCGGCGCACTTGAACGCCCCCACATACCGCGCCGCCTGCTCCGGGGACTCGTGTGACAGATAGCCGATTGTCCAGTAGACCAATGTCTGCCAGATAGCGTCGAAGCTACCATAGAAGAAGTACAACATAAACGGACCCGCATACTTACCTCCGGATGTGATCAGGTCCATCTCGTTGAGGGCGTAGTAATCGCTGCTGGGGCCGCGCTTGAGCTGGGCGGCCAGTCCGCCGCCCCACACGACCATAGAGATGAGAGCATTGATGGTAAAGCCCCATAATCCACGCTGGCGGCGGTTCATGTACTGGTTATCGAGAAAGAGGCCGAATATGTAGCTGGATACCATTTGAGCCAGCCAGTACATCGCGCCGTTAAAGCTGCGTGTGCGAAGGGTGAAAAGCTTCGCGTTATAAGTGTTTTGCTGGTAGTTGTAGGCATCTATGCGATGGATGAGAATTGAATAAAAAGGAAGGGGAAATGAAGCAAAGAGAAGGGAGGACCTACAGTTGGCAGCCATCCAGAAAGGGATAAGGGACATCACTCTCCAGTCTCGTAGGACTTTCAGCAATCCCACAAACTCCTCCCAAACGCCCGGCTTTTTCGAAACGGCGGCACGCGAATTATCCTCTCGAATAACATTGTAAGGGTTCAGTAAGGCAAGTGCACAAATACAGCCAGCAGCCATGATGCACATAAAAGCAATGTATGTTGCATCGGAAACCGTGCCGCTTTTGGAGCTGAAGTTCAACCCAAAAGATATCATTGAGCCGAGAAACCCGCCCGAACTGCATAGCCTAGATTAACATCTTGAGCCACTCGTTATATTGTATTTGAGACTCACTTAAATATAATCCAAAAAACCCCAATCATTCTCCCATGCTGCTGTGGCAAGGGATATCCGGTCATGATAGAGCCTTGTGCGATCCACAGCAATGAAGCCCCAATACCCAATATAGCACTGGCACCGATGACGAAGCCCTGGCTTGCGGTATGGTTATAGGCCAACAGAGAACCGGCATATAGGACGTATGGTACCCCGCCAATGAAGATAGTCCATTTTGGGCCCAAGATATTTGTGACAATGGGGGCAACGAATATGTTTCCCACCGCACTCACAGCGGCGAGGGCGATGTGACCCTTCGCTGACGTGGTGGTATCAAGTTGACCACCACCTCCAATTCCAGAGAGAGCATTATACATTCCAGGGCATCTGTTTAAATTTTTATTTAGTGTAATACGTGGATTGAAAGTCCCAAAAGTCTTACCCAAATGCGACGAAACTGACGATGATAATTTGCCAGAAAGGCGAATTGTACCGAGTGTAGCAGATATTGTTCGAACCATTATTGCTACCAGCTACTTCCTGCTCCTCCTCGACGCTGGTGTGGGGGTTGGTTGCTTTTGATGTTTGATGATCCATATTAAATTGAATCCTATTGGGATTTAGTGATTGTTGTCGTTGGAATGCAGGGACCCCATGCCCCACCCTCAGTCTCTATATACTAATGTGCCTCGGCCCCGGTAGGGACGCTTGGACAGCAATATCCCGCGTAACTTACGGGGTAGAAAAAGGCTATCTGATAAGGAAACTAAAAATTTCCCCTGCACGGTATCTGGGGGTTCACAGACCAATGATTTTAATGAGGGGTTTGGGTTATGCGGGATGGTGGATAACTTCGATGCAGATTAAGCTGGTACATAGATAGGCGAATGCAAGTCTCCATGCTTCAGCAAAGTGGTCTTTCAGCACTGTGTTAAATCACTGAAATACTATTTTACATAGCCGAGGCTTGACAGGATGCTGTTTCTTTATTGCATGATACTGGCACTTGCCTCAATCACGGTTGCCTCAATCGACTTCTCGAGTCTCCCATCTCACCCGCGATTGATGTTCACAGATGATCGGGTTCAAGCAGTGCTTTCAATAAACGATACAGACTCTTACTATAGAGATGTGCTGGGATATCTGCAGCAGACTGCAAATACTGCTATCGCAACTTCCCTGTCGCTATCAGTATCAACCTCTTGGTCTAGTACCATTCGAATGAATGTCGGTGCCGTGGCAGGCATGTACCGGTTGACAAAAAACAGTGCCTATTCCGATTGGGTTACTGAGACTATTTTGACGATAACCAATCTCTCTGACTGGGATCCATCAAATTTCTTAAATACGGCAGATATTACCATGACGGTCTCTCTTGGCTACGACTGGGTATATGATCAATTGACTGAGTCCCAGCGTGAGGCTATTGAGACAGCGATTGCTGAAAAGGCGTTTTTACCGGCTCTCAACTCTTCGACTAACTCGTGGAGTGAGCATACCAATAACTGGGCACAGGTGACGCATGGTTGCTTGATCATTGGCACTCTAGCTATAGGAGATGTCAACACAACACTTGCAAACCAAATCATAGATTTCTCCCTTCCGAAATTAAACACTTCCTTGCAACAGTACGCCCCAGATGGGGGCTGGATTGAAGGCTACTCATATGGAACATATGCAGGCATATTCCTGGGTCTGATGATGGGATCGCTCGACAGCGCGCTCGGAAATGATCTTGGCATCTCGAGCCTTCCAGGAATGAGTAACCTGGGTGCATGGCTGACACATGGATTTGGACAAACAGGGGGATTCAGTTGGGCCGATGGGGCATGGTCATTTTCGAATGCGAACAGTCTCTGGAGCGTCGGGTACTGGGCGACACGATTTAACCAGGCTGAATGGTTGCAGGGAATGCTGTCGAGATTCACAGCTTCTCAAGCAGCAACCTTCCAAGCGTACCTTTTCTACAACTCAACATTGAACTCTACCAATTTATTGTCAGACATGCCTCGCTATAATCAATTTGAGGGCGTCGCGGGGGTGACTTACCGCACCTCGTGGGCCAACTCAAATGGTTGGTTCTACGGTTTCATGGGCGGATTTAACGGACGCTCCCACGGTCATTTGGATGCAGGCTCCTTTGTCGTAGACTACAAGGGCTACCGGTGGGCCGAGCTTTTGGGGTCCGACAGTTACAGTCTTAACAGCTACTTTGCGGCGCCAAAACGCTGGACATACTACCGTTGTCGCTCTGAGGGTGCGAATACTCTGAGCATATCGGACACGGCTCAGACTGCACTACATTTTGCAAATCAAATTCCTTCCGCGAATAACTCTCTGCTTTGGGCAGGTAGTTTTGATTCATCTAGCCGTTTTGGCATCGCAAACCTCACAGAGGCATATTCCAATGTAACAACCAGTGTTCTTCGCGGAGTGGCAGTTCTCAATAACTCGCAACTTCTAGTTCGAGATGAGATCATTGCACCCAATGCAGTGGACATTGCTGCTAGTTGGCATACGACTGCGGATATAACTCTAGGCACGAACAATCGAACTGCAACATTAATACAGGGCGATGTTACGATGCAGCTCACGATACTACAGCCATCAAATGCATATCTCGAGCTTGTCAACACGAATCCCTGTGATGCATATAGTGGGTGTTCTGAAATGACCAATAGCGGTATATACAATGTTGCTGTTCGTCTATCAGAGCTGACCACAGAAGCTACTATTCTGCTAGCCCTTGCAGAGAGTGATACTACCCTTGAGAGCTTCAATACCTCGCTCAAGTCTTGGTATTCATTGTGCACGGTGGATTGCTGGAAAGGAGAAAATGTGGAGGATCCTTATTGGCTTGAAAATTCGGAAGTATACTTCTAGGCAGTAGTTACTAGTTTCGCTGCAACTATTACAATACCAGGGTCCTTCTCCGCGTTATATCTGCAAAAATACCCATTTTCGAGTCCGAGCAGACTCATACAAAGCACTGTAAAGCTTCAGCAAATTTTCGACTATGTTTTCATCACAACATTCCTGGCCAATTCCCACACCGTCTACTCTCCGAAAGAAATTTTCCATTTGCTTCTCGAAAGCAGCATCCAAGCTCACCTCCGTTTCAAATAGCTCATTTCGCCCGCATTTCCACTTGTCCTTCTTCTCTTTCAACAGGATACAGCTCCCTGGACCGTCGACATTTAACCGCATGGACCCCCCAGTCCCGTAGATTTCCATGCTCCAGTCCCTCAGGTAGCGACTCCCCTCCCACGCCGTAAAGTCCAAATGTACATTGAAATTTTCATACTCCAGGATCGCCGATGCAATATCCTCGTGCACGAGCGTTCCGATAGCGTGCCACGGATTCACTTCCCGCCCATCGAAAAGGTTCGGCACCCACGAGAAACCCTGATGAGGCTGCTGGGCTGGTAGCTTGCGGATAGAACTCACAACTTGAACTGGCAAGCCAAAGAGATCAATTACGATCTCTACAACATGACCTCCAAGACTATAAAAGAAACCACCGATATTGAGTGGATCCGATTGCCAGGGTTCCGCCCCCGCACCGCCTGGACACCCGCCATGGAACCGAGCCATTGTGATGTTCCCCAGCAGCGACTCGTGGAGAATTCGCCGTGCGAAGGCCACGCTTTCGAGATAATGCAGTTCCCAACCGACTTCGAACACAAGAGTACTTTTTCTTAGGCGAATCTCTTCTGCCAACGGGTAGAATTCTGGTGGCTGTGCAACGCCAGGCTTTTCGACGAAAATGCCCTTCGCCCCAGTGTCTAGGGCCAACCGGATATAATCTGCATTTTCATGATCGCGGCCATGAATGAGGGCTACATCGTATGGAAGGGCGAGAAGACTATCGAGGTTTTCGTAGCGTGTGCATCCAGCGTGGCCTTGCATGCGTTGAGCGACTTCGGCATCGCTATCGTAGTAGCCGAGGGGTGTGATGTTGGGAGATCGTTGCAAATATCTGTATCGATGAAAGATATGAGGGTGACTTGTACCTAACATAATAACTTTGATATTTGACATTTTATTCAGTATATCGTAAATTTTATCGGTATATTGTAGTTGATGCCCAGGTGGGTTGAGAAGAAAGTGAGAAAGTTTTGGAGTATCGGCAGTCCATATATTTTACAGGCTAGCATGATTCGAATGCATCCCACGGGCCCTCCCACGCAACCCCATAATATTCACAGAATTTGCATGAAATACCTAGGTATGTTCTTATAACTGGCCAAGATCTCTGAGATTCATCAAATAATAGTTCCTAGCCTGCTGTTTTCATAAAGCGACACTATAGACCACTAACTAGCTGGGGTAAGAGAGCACTTTTGAATAACCTCCGTCTACTAAGTATGTCTATTTCCAGTCAGTACAATGATGGTATGTGAATGAATAAGATTTTTCGTACCCCGCCGGTTGTAAAACCACTCTCCAAAACACCTAAGAATTCTACCCACCTATATTATCACAAAAAGTTCACCAAAATTAGCTGATCATTTTTCATGTCGACCCATGCAAGGTGTGCAAGGTGGGAATTACACATACCGCGCAATGTCTTCTCCTCTCCCAATCCTGCCTACAGGATGCGCCTCGCTCAGAGAATCACTTTTACCTGCCCCCCCAAGCTGGGGCATACTCACTTTGGAAATCCCGGTCCAGGTCACCCCGAAGGGTCTCAATATCTGGCAACAAGTTCTCATTCCGCTCGCACCGAACATCGACCATCCCCGGGCTCACCACATGTACTCGAATTTTCGGTCCTAAACTCACGGCCATAGCCATACTGAGGCCTTCGATTCCGGTCTTGGAGGCCGCATAGGCTTCGCCGTTCTTGCTCTGCTGGCTCGCTCGGCAGCTGGACATGTTGATGATGACGCCTCCGCCCAGAGACTTTTCGAGATGGGGAATGGCCATCTGGGAGACACGGTATGTGCCGACTAGATTCACGGAGATAATTTTTTCGAAATCAGAAGTGGGGACTTTATCCATTCTGATGCCTGCTCGCATATATTGGCTCTAGACCTCACTTAGCGACTCTTTCGGGATGAAGGCGAGTGAGATTCTCAAAGACATACGTTGATTCCTGCATCTATATTCACCGCAAAAGAGGTTAATTGATGTTTTCATCAATGATCTCCTTGGGGTTCCCGTCAAGAGAGAATAAGACAAAAAAGAGCCATACTATTTACTAGGACATCGATGGCCTCGAATGCTTCAACACACAGCGCAATTGCCTTGGTGACTTGCTGTTCATCGCAAACGTTCATTTGCGCCCACTTGAAATTCTCATGCTTGTCGCTGGGAATAACAGAAGGGAGGTGTGACGAGCAAGTGTCTTCTAGAAAGGCGTCATTGTAATCGGTGAGGAAGACCCGATGGCCCTTGAGTAGAAGCTCGCGTGCTATGACTCGGCCGATGCCGCTCCCCGCGCCTGTGATGAAGAAGACTTTTGACATGAGGCTGTTTTAATTTGTTTGGTATGATAATTTGACTGAGATGAAATTTGAGAAAGATAATATCATCTTATCGCGACTGGGATTTTTTGTGGTATCTGCAGCGGGGTGATGGCGTTCGACTTCGACAATAGATTGCTTAGTGCCTAGTGAATGCTGATGCCCGCGGGGGTGATCTACCCCTCACTGAAAAGGAACTAGTTCATCTATTTGCCGAGATAAGTGAGCGGGGTTGATTATCTTACAAGAACTATCCTGACAATAATCGCTCTTCCGTGAAAAGTGTGGGATAAGTGGGATAGGTGGGATATGCGGGCAACAACCCAAACATTCCCCACACTTCATTCATGTAGCTACAGGGAAGACTGTTTTGACCACTAGCATAAAATAGATACAAAAATTATTCTAGATATGTCACTCTTCTATCATATTTCCCTCTAAAAACCCCCCAAAAACAGACAAAATGACTGAACCCCTCGAATCAATCGATGGCGGAAAACCCTGGTATTACTGCCCTGACCCTATGGTCCTTGGCGAAGCCCCAATATATCGAGCCAGTGACTCAACTCTACACTGGGTGGACTGTCTCTCGGAGCCCTCAAGACTATACATCCTCAAGGTAGACCCCCACACTGGCGATGCCATTGGAGATGCTCGTGTGCTTCCTCTTGACGATAGCGTGACGGTGGCATTCTTCTGCAAAGACCGACCTGGCAGTTACATCGCCGCGTACTATCAAGGTGTATGTTTCCTAGATGAGGCCACGGGCAAGTTCGAGGTCGTGAAGGAAATAATCCCCACAGACCAGCGAGATGAGCTCCGCTTCAATGATGGTGGCATTGACGCACATGGCCGGTTCTGGCTGGCTGAGATCGATAAGCGGGCAATGGCATTCGGGCCCAACCAACTTCCAGACTCCTATGGAACACCCAAAGGCCGACTATGGAGATATGATCCGGATGGCAGCTTACATCTGATGATTCCCGAGGGGGTGGTTTGCGGGAATGGGCTTGCATGGAGCCCAGACAACACGATTAGTAGGTGCCTGCTGCTTCGGTTCTAGCAGAACTCGCTAACAACAGCAGTGTACTTCAATGACTCGGTCGCAATGATGGTGTTTGCATTTGACTTTGACTTGGAGACAGGCAACATCTCAAACAAGCGACTTCTTATTGACAGGCGATCGTCTTATGGAGAGCCGGATGGTATGGTGGTCGAGTAAGTGATTTAGTTTCCCATTTCACTTCAAGTCATGTGCGAAAAAATACATTTGCTAATACTTGATAGCACTGAGGGGAATCTCTGGATAGCTGTGTTTGCATCTCATCGAATTATGGTCTTTAGTCCCGAAGGAAAACATTTGAAAGATGTTGTGGTGACGGCCAAGAACCCGGCCTGCACCACATGGGGCGGAGTGAACCATGATATTATCTTCATGGCAAGTGGAAAGGATCGTACTCCCAATCCAGATCCCAACGATGAGGGCGGCCATATGTTCAAATATCATCCTCAGCACGCCAAAGGGTATGCGAAGTTTGAGTTCGCAGGATAGCTACGTAGACATGAGATTTTGAATATCAATTTCCGCAATATTCACTTCTACTATTGTCCACCGTAATGAATGCTATTTCAAAATGAGTTTCGTCTATCACTTCGGAGAAGAGAACATGATATCTGGAAGAGACCATGCTTCACCTCCTTCTTTTGGGCTTAATGTGTATTCATGGGGGACTCCCAGGGTCCAAGCCGAGATATCTTTTGCTACAACACAAATGAAATCTTCCAAAATATCTTCTACGATCCAGGTGGTATAGAGTGTACGATAGAAAGCAAGTTTTGTCAAATAAACTTCTGAAGGCTATCATCCATGCAATCTAATACACAAAGCCCTTGGTTCCAGATGAATCTTTCCAAAATACTTCACGCAGTGTGTCACACATCAAACTAATAGCCCTCTTGCCCTCCCCCAGAACGCCATCCATTGCGAGGAAAGGATGAGGCATTCCCGCCATAACATGTAGATTCACCGGCACACCAGCAGCGCGTAACTTGTCCCCATACTCTTCCCCCTCCGCACGAAGAACATCCAACTCCGCGACTAGAATCAACGCTGCCGGGAGTTGCGACCAGTCACCTTGGTAGAACAGAGGGCTCGCCTCCGGATGCGCCCAGTTCGATTCATCCGGAAGGTAGTGTTTTCGATACCAGAGCATCTTTTCTGCCGGAAGCGCGGCCGTCTGTTCGTACAGAGCGTAGGATTTGTTGTTGGTGACCAGGGCTGTGTTGTCGGTCACAGGAACCGAGAGCACTTGGGACATGAAATGAACGGGTGGCGATAAGGCGAGGGCTTTCTGAGACACGACAGCTGCGAGATTACCACCGGCCGACGACCCGCCTATAGCCATCTTGGATGTGTTGATGCCGAGCCTGGAAATTCCATCGGAAACGAGCCATTGAAATGCCTCCCAGCTATCGTGGACTGCGGCTGGCCAGGGATGCTCTGGTGCGAGACTGTGTAGATAGGATTCATCATTTAGTATTTTCTCTAAAGACTATGCAGACCTGAAGGCTTAGACGAACCGATAATCAACAGTAATGACGACGCAGTTTGCGCGCACACAAATATTTGTACAGACGGTGTTTTCGGTATCAACTGTCCCGAGAACCCATCCACCTCCGTGGAAATACAACAGAACCGGCCAACCGTCGTGCGGTTTTCCTCCAGCTGGGGTAAAGCAGCGAATCTGGACGTCTTCCCCATAACTTGTCCGTCTTGGAATAGGGATGTCCTCGGTTTTGCCAACAGTGAGCAGTGGGCCGCCTCCCGGGATCAGCGTTCCACTTGTTCGTGAAGCTTCCACAGGCTGGTAGTGGACTTGCTGGTTATTTATGATGTATTGGTTGTAGAAAGCCACATATTCGGGGCTCAATTTATCCTTAACGGACTCGTGGATGGGGTAGGGTGGCTGGATCGAAACTTCAACAGACATGACGGCTCAGTTATTGTTTGTATCAGCACGGCGTGTGGGAGAATTCTGATTTCAAAAGCTCTGGATGAACATGATTAAGTCGTGCAATTATAATCTTTTCTGGTGGTGCATGGACCAATAATGTTTCTTCCAGCTACAATCATCCCACCCCTGCACCCCACGACTTAAGTGGGATGAATGGTGGGTGGGTACAAGCAACCCTCGGGATAGGTAGCATCGGATCAAAAGAGGCTACCTTATTTTGAGTCACTTAGCTTAGACTAGATCCTATGATTACAATATATAAACGTTGAATGTCTCAATTACTATGCCATACGACAAGCCTAGTCTTTCAAAACACTCCTCTAATATGTCAGGAAAACAAGCTATCCTCACCAAAAATGCACCAGCTCCCCTTCTGGGGATCTACTCACAAGCAGTAGTCGCCAATGGATTCGTTTACTGCTCTGGTTGCGTACCCATGGACGCATCAACAGGTAAACTGATTGACGGAGATATCAAAGCGCACACTGTAGGTCTTTTTTACCCTCAGTCACAGAACAACACTGACGCTATCTCATAAACAGCATCAATGCATCAAAAATATATCGCATATTCTGGAAGCTGCTGGGTCGGACATCTTGAAGGTTGTCAAGGTCAATGTTTTCATATCTAACATGGACGATTTTGCGGACATGAATTCGGTCTACACACTTTATTGGGGCGATGTGAAGCCTGCCAGGACGTAAGCTGCAAATCCAAGCAATCTCCTAATTCAAATCGCACTGACCATTTCGAAAAGATGTGTGGCTGTGAAAACGCTGCCGTTGAATACTGATGTGGAAATCGAGTGTGTTGCTATTTTATAGCCGGGTCTCTATCAGGCAATGTCGTGTTTACGCAATCTTTGCAGTTCGTGATGTACATCTATAATTGCTACACATGGTAGTTAGAGTAGTTATAAAAGTGATAGTACCCGGATTCAAACAAAGCTAAGCCAATAGGATTTAAGTAATCTCTCCCGCAGTTGCATTCAATTCTGTATCGTTCAGAAACACTAGACTACAGTGGTGTCGCAAAAGTTTGAAACCCCTGGCAGAAAAAGGGGGATTTGATCCCCTAAAACCTCTATTCCAGCGAATAGCATATAGTTGAATCAGGGGCTTGTACTTAACTTGGTGAGCGGTAGGCTTGATTCGGTTGGCGATAGAAAAGACAGTAAAATGGGGGTTTCAAACTTTTGCAACGCCCCTCCTGTACGTTGAGTTGCGTTGAGCAGATCACGCCCAGTAATCGCTAATTATCGGCTACGGTATTACTCTACCCAGTATTAGCGCTTAAACTACGGAGCGTAACTTGAAGCGAATCCCTATATCCTCCAATCAGCAACTCTTCGCCCCCATTCGCAATCTCCACAATTCCCCATTTTATCCTAGTCTTGTCTTAGATTTCTCCCAATTCAATTAGCCCCATAACTAGAGCCTCTTGGACTCTGCTCTAGCCCTCGAGGTAGGCACCAGCCTGCGGCTGCCTGAGCAGCCTCGTGCTTGACTTGTGAGCATAAAACCCATCCAGACGCCTCTTGCTATTTGAGGGTTCAAATCAAAATAATTTCCTTTTGGAAAAAATTGAGATATCAATTTTTACCTCCGACTTCCACAATGGCAAGACTTTCTTTTGGCACTGCCTCCGACACGACAAAACAATATGTCCACACCATTCCTATCGAAAAGAAGCCATTTACAGTCACGAACTTGGTCGAAGGTGAAATAATTCACCAAACATGTATTCAGGTTCACGGTGAATGTCAAGATTTCGATTATCCCGGCGACACAAGTTATGTCTCTGTTGCGACAACCGACATCCTTGGTCAATCACAGCCGGTTCACCATTGGCCATTGAATGAAGGACACTGGAAGAGTCTTGTGATGCTTTCTCCGGGCTTCAATACCATTGTTTTCACCCTCCACCATTGTGGGGGTGTCTCTGATTCGACTCAAATGACTGTGAATTATGTTCCTCTTTTGCAACTACCACCTCTCCATTTGGCCATCCTGGTGGCCAAGGACTCGCCCCTTTTAATTGATTGCCCGCCAGCAAAGTACGGCGGCATTTCAACTGCCCATAGTAGTATTGATGCCGCAATCTCGAAGCTGCGCATGTCAGCATACATGTGGCAGGCTGCGACCGCTGAAGACTTTCGCCAGAAAGGACTGGGAAGACGATCATTTCGCCTGGATGAGGAGTGGATGACCAACACCACGATGCGAATGGCCCACCAACAAACCCCTGGCGACTCTACCCTTATGCGCGCTGCGGCAAAGATCCATATCATTCGGTCGGAGAAATCAGTCGCAGAGATAAGGAATGCAGATGTTGCGCAGCAGAACTCCAATGGTCGGAACCGTGATGCTCTGCATCAGTACTTTGAAGCCGCTCTACGAAAAACAGGTGGTCCGTTTGAGTCAAAATGTCGCCCTGTTGTGGCGGGATTGATCTTGGATGCGCATTACTCTGCTGAAAAGTCCATGATTTTGGGACATGCAGCGCTGGGCTGTCACAAGCCTGACGGTATTTCTCTGGGAATATTCGGCAGCCATTTGACCTACTCTTGGCCCCGCTTCCTTGAGGAGGTCCCTGCTTGCCTCACTGATATGACCCTCACTGGGGATACTGTCGGGAATGACAACGGTGAATGCGATACTATGCGCGGGGCATGCTTCGTGGGACAAGGGGCATTCTTGCATGAGGTTGGTCATGCATTCGGTGCCGACCATACAACTGGTATCATGGCAAGAGGATATAGCAAGTCTTGGGCAATGAATTTCGTTGACCATAGAACCAATGACAAGGTCTTCAATGATTCCAAATGGGACCTGCGCGATGTACTCCAGTTCAAGATGCTCCCACACTTTGCATTGCCAGGTGATCGCCCCGTGGATAAGAATTTCAAGAATGCTTCGGTGAACATTGAGGTGGATCTTGAAAATTTTGTTGAGAGTGAGGGAACATTGAAAGATTCGGCACTTCATGAAGATATTCTCAAGATATCTTGTGCAGCCGGCATCGCTCAAATCAAAATTAAGAGTGGGTCGGAGGAACCTCAAACAATGTTCATGGATGACACTTGGAGAGGAGATTGCCCGGCTGTGTCTATCAATTTGACACAACACAAGGTTGACCGTACCAAACCATTGGAAATGATTGCACTGGGAATGAATGGCAAGCAGCGTGTGGTAAAGGACGCATGGATCTTGCTGCAGCAGAGACCATACGTCTTAATTCCCGGAAGCAGCGTGGTGCTTCGCAAGAAATCTGTCAAATCGGACGAATTCTGTGAAGGCGTGGACTATACCAGCTGGGCCATGCTTCTTAATCATCGCGGCAAAGATGGCAAGCTCCATCGAGCGACTTCGATTGATCTCCGGGTCGGGTGCACAATGGATGGAGCTGTGGTGAATTATGCTGATGGGCAAGAAGAAAATTGTGGTCCTACACGCGAGAATGGTAGTGACGGAGATCACCACTTTGGTGGGCACGCATCCGAGTCCCACGATTTGCCTGCCGGCGAGACTATCACAAAAGTTCTAGTTTGCAGGCATAGCAGAGGCTGGGGAAGCTTGGCTGGCATCCGCATGTTTTTGAGCAACGGAGATCGCTGGGGTTATCTGAACAATAACGAAGACAGTGGTGACAGTGATAGCGAGACTGAGGATAATGAAGATGAAGAGGAAGAGGAGGATACGGAGGAGGAGGGATTGAATGGAGATAACACTGGGGTTGTTACTCTAATGCCAGAAGATAACGAGGTCATCGTTGGCTTCTACGGACACAGCGAACCACGTTCCGGTTACACTTACGAATTTGGGATACTGACTGCCCCGAAAGCTCTTGAACTACCAGACGTGGTTTATGATTTGCCTGAACTGAGAAACATCGCATGAAGTGCTCGAGGAGCATCCAATGGCGGGGGATGCGTATAACTTCAGACTGAGCTTGGATCAAGTTAGGACAGAAAAATCAAATATTAAAAAAGTCGTTGAAGGCGATGGTCCACTATGTAGCATTTTTAGATAATTTTTATATCATCAAGTAGTACGCAACTTTTCAATTCTGTCTAGAAGACATTCAAGAAGATGCTTCATGCAAAAACTGATTAAGCGATCCGAAATAGCCATAACCGGTAAAACTTAGGCCCCAATAGTACTTTTTTGGGCCAGTACATGCTTGAACTTTATGCACAATCCGAGGAAAAGCTCGGGAGCAACCATGTCCAATTACTTATGTCAAATCGTATCATCGTTTTCTGCGATGAAGCGTATTTGATAATTCGAAGATATGTTTTATACCCTCCAAATATTCTCTGTTGAGGCTGGTAAGCAGCCGCCTCAGGCATCCTAGGTTGCTGCATGCTCGCCTTTTGTCACCTCAGTATTAGTAGTAGTGGCTCTCGCTTAGTTCTTCATAAAACACACTTCATTCTCCCACACATCTCTAGTAGTAAATATCGCCATCATTTTCTAATTTTTGGACATTTTTTCTAGTCTTGTTCTGAAAGGCCCAGTATTGATAGTTTCTTACCATGCATGGCTTTGTTGTGGCCGAAGGGGCGAAAATGGTAATTGGGGATAGGGAGTGAAGTGGTGGCTATAAGTGAGATGCTCACCAAGAGTAGATTCTAGCTTACAGCTAGGGTGATCGCTAGAGAGAGCTTCAACGTTACACTTCTCGACTGTGAAATAGGCACATAACTAATACATGGGATGTATATCGGGCCTTGGCATAGTTATTACATATGGGCCAGGTTTACGATATTTTTATCTATTTATAAAAGTCATCTATGTCCAATTATACAGAAAGTTAAGAATTTCTAGGCGCAAGTAGCAAGAGGAATATTTCATTTTTAAATTGAAGAAAAGACCAAAGTTCAACTCGACGACCGGACTCAGGCCTGTTTCAAGATTGAACAACGTGCAGCTCATCCGTGATATTTTAAGCATATGAAATTTATCTCAATGGTAATAGGGCAAGACAAAAGGGGTGGATTAGTCATAGACCACGGGAATTTGTAAGAATTTTGACCATGGAGTTGTAATATCAATCCAGTTTAAGGAAAAGAGAGACGGGGAGAGCTCGAGGCAGCCCGACGACATGTCCCGGCCCCGTGTGTAAGAGGCCTAGCCTAGCCAAGCCAAGCCACTTCCACTTGTTGGCAAGACGAGAAAAGGAAATAAGCGAGACAAGATCGGGAAACGAGGTGTGAAATAATTGTTGAGTAAATAGTAAGAAGACGGAGGTAGAGGTACAGAAAGAAGGGAGGGGGGGGGTTTCTTTCATGTCATATGCCGAAGATTGCGAGAAATATATATGAAAAGAGCGAAGTAGTTGCCGTTCCATTTCCCCACTCCTTCTCTCCCTTTCGCGCTTCGTATTCCCGGATGAGTGAGGGGAGCCACAAAAAAGAGTAAAACACACAGAGACAATTATTAGATAAGAACATGAAGGTTACATTCATATAGCATCAGCTTTGATGTCTTCACAATCGAGTCTCGACAGGATTGTGCTGAGAATAATGTTGTTGTTCTTTTCCAATACAATCCACTGAAACCCCATTTACAATGTGCATTATTGTTAGGAATTGTGACTACGTGTAAGGCGGAAAGGAGCACGCAAAGCCTGGAAGGTAAGAGAATTATGCCTCGGCAAATTCCATGAAGATTACATTCCCTGTGGGAGCTCCAAGCACAAAGGTACTTTGCCACTGAGCGACCTATTTATTATTCCAATCTTGATAAGTCCTTTCCATGGCTATGGAGTCCCAACGGGATGGTATGGGAACCATCAACCTTGGGCGGTGATTGGCCCGCCAATACCGCTGAGTCAGCACTGATAGGGCGATAACAAAAATCTTTGAATCTTTTGGACTTGCACCGCTTTGGACAGTCCGCGAAATAGCTGTACTCACTTTCAACTATCGACCTCCGCTACGATGGGTGTTCACAAGAAGTCGCGCAAGTTCGCACAAGCGAAGAGAGCCATCTCTCTCCGCGATAACCGCCTGTTCGTTGATTCCTCGGATTTCTTTGTGTTCCGCGCCTCCCTCGCCCACCCATGAAGACTGACACAAAGCTATACAGAAAGGAGCCCACGAACAAGGAGGAGAAGAAGCCCAAATCCGATGATTTGGTCCGCGAAGCGTGCGTTTGGACCTCTATATTTTCCCCGCACTGCTCGGTGGGCGATTTACTGACATCAGTCTCTTTCTCTATGCAGACCCCAGGCTCCTTCGTCTCTTTTCTTCCAATATAACACCGCCCTGACACCCCCATACTCCGTCCTCGTCGATACCAACTTTATCTCCCATACCATCCAGCACAAGTTGGAAATCATCCCCACTATGATGGATTGTCTCTACGCCAAATGCACGCCCGTCATCACGGACTGCGTGATCGCCGAGTTGGAGAAGCTGGGCCAGAAGTACCGACTGGCACTGCGCGTCGCTAAGGACCCTCGCTTCGAGAGAATCAAGTGCGATCACAAAGGTACCTATGCCGATGACTGCCTCGTTGATCGAATCATCAAGCACCGAGTCTACATCGTGGCGACAAACGATCGTGATCTCAAGCGACGAATCCGGTAAGTTCAAGCCAGCCCCTTGCTCGTGCTATACAAATCTAATCTAATCCCCTTAGAAAAATCCCCGGTGCACCCATCATGAGCGTCGCAAGAGGAAAATACGTTATCGAGCGTCTCCCCGATGCCCCCGAAAAGTGATAAAAAGTCTCTTCCCAAATCTCCGCCCGACCTGCGTTGCTCCCGCTCCGCCCTGCAAAACTGGACTCAAGATAATCTCCAACCTTGGATTTGCTCCGGCTGAGCCGATTCAATTCGATTCGGGCATACCACTGGCCCCCGGGTCCGTGCAACAAGTGGTGTGGGCTACTGCGTACATAATATCTGTGCTGGTCACAATTTGCGTTACGATTCATACCGCGCGGTCCTGGCGATATGGCTGCTGCGATAAAAGCACCAACCGGCTCATTGCTGGAATTCATATCTTTCGGTGGCACCTGGGCAGGCGGCGCGCCAACCTGGGGTTATTTCCCGTGCACCGATTCTTGTACATAGCTCAATAGTTTCCTATCAAGCGAGTCACAATGGGGTCATAATTCATGTGCCCAATGGATACGAGTCGCGTCTTGAAAAGATTACAGAGAATAAAACCAAAACGTCGTCATCTATAAACCCATCCGGTAGATTCGAATTGTACGGTATGGTATATATGGCAAACTTTAATATGCAAGGTCACCCATAGGTCTTAATCATCTGATGAACCACTTTCCGGCAGTTTTCTTGAGAAAATCCCTGGACCATATCATGCCGTGACTTCATAAGAAGATATAAGGGAGGCAGGTCTTTCAAGATATCCCGGTATACCCCCAAATCATAAGTCTTCGCAGCGATTTGAAGAAGTTGCTGCAACATTCGAAGAGAATAAAGAACAGCCTGAATCTGAGCTAGAAGGTGAATATCCCCCCCAATCCGTGGCCTTTCCCATAAAGCCCTTGCTCAGAAACCCTTGCAAGTGCTTGGCAGTCGGCGGGGTCGCTGTATTCGATAATTCATGATAAACCTCCGCGAGCGCAAACAAGAACCAAAAAGTTGACGAAGAATTTGAATTTGAAGCATCGTCAAAAGTAAACGTACTCCGAGCTAGATCCAGACGTCTTTGGAGACAATCTAGGTCGGAAAAAACAGTCTTCTCGCCCGCGAGAGTGATCTGCTCCGCGACAATTCTCGTTCCCCGCCGGACAAATTCGTACACGGTCTGAGCCTGGGGTTCGGACTCGTGCGCTGCTATTGCACGGCGACTGAGATTGAGAATAGCATAGCCAAGTGAGCGATAGAATCGAGATTGTTCCCAAGCGCAGCGCCGAGAGGAGTCCTCGTGGAGAACCCCAAGATAGACATGGAATTGAGAAGCTTGGGTATATGTCTCTGGCGAAACGAATTGCCAGAACAATTCCGAGACCCTGGGATCCATCCCCTGAGTGAAAAGCTTTTCATCCTCTCCTTTGCTCGCTGCATTAAACGTAGGGCCAGAGCCACACTCATACTCACGAAGAAAATCGCAATATTCGACGGATCGTTTCTCATCGTCCCCGTATTTATATTCTTTCGCCAGACGCAGAAGTTTCGAAAACGGGGCGTGCGGGTCTGTCAGAAGCTCATAGGCAAAGCGTTGAATATTAGGCATTCCGAGATGGCGGCATAAATCGTGAGGAGTAATACCCTGCCCACAAAGACTCAAATTTGATGCTTGGTTTGATCCCTCCGTACTTTCGGTCAACTGCAACGAATTGAGAAACACAACCGAACCCGCCACTCCAAGATCATGAACCAAAAGGTCTGAATCACTCGTTAAAATAGCCGAGTTGGTACTCCTCGCCACGCGCGCACACTCAATATCCGCCTCCCCAGCAACCATGACCGTGACATTCGCCCAGGGATATTCATCCGGAAGACGAGCGTCAAGCCGGACTCCAAATTCCCTTAAGACCTCCTCCCTACTCCACCGATTCAAAAGATCTTCAAAAACAGCCGAGACCATAAACGGATTCTCCGGCAGATTTTTCCACCGCGCAGGGAGACTACGAGCAGAATTCCATATCTGTGCAAAGATAACATCCGAGGACATTTCCCTTCGACATTCAGTCCGGGTCTTTGTGCTCAAAACCTGCCTCCGACACAACTCCAGTTTTTTCCTGGACTTTTCGACGCGAGAGAGTCTTGTAGACCGCTTTGAAACGGGCAGAGCGCCGTCGAAGCAGATTCCTTTTCTGTTATAGTTAGACTTGGATTGACCGGACCCGTAGCCAACTTTTCAGTTTGTGGGGGAGGGCATACACTTCAACGCCCAATTTATCCAATTTACACAGGAAAGCCACGAAGCCGCGGCTTACCTCATTACATGTTGGCTGGACGTCCAGGATGTCGCAGCCCGGGTGCATATTTGCGAGGAGGCGATGGTAGACATCGTACACGAGGCTTGGACCATCAATTACGACGTTTTGCTGGTAGGGGCCTGGGAGCGAGGTATTATTGTTTGATCCGAATGATACGGTCTCGGCGTATGGCAGTAGATGCCTGGTGAGATATGAAATTCCCATATTCAGGGAATTGACGCGAGGGAAGTGAGATGTAGAGGGGTGTTTGGCGCTGAAACGAAAATTGATGGATTAGTCAGGCTGGTATAGGAGGAAGTGACCAATCAGGAGCGAGTTACATAGATCGGCCTGAGGGGAGTTTATATTGTGGGCCAACAGCGTGAAGGTATCACGGGAAATGGTAGATTTGGATGTGAGATATGAGATTTGAGATGTGAGATGCGAGAGATAGTGATGAATGATGAAATCGTGGAGATGAGAGGTGGTGAAGATGAGAAAAAAGGTCGAGGCTTGACACCGGTAAAGGTTGGGGTCGTCACTAAACAGATCATCCAGTTAAGGATAAAGGCCCATCGGGTGAGGGTTGAGAAGATGACCCCCATTGGGATGATGGTATTAGAGACTTTCCTATTCAGATTCTCGCTGGTAATCCGATGATTGAGTGGAAGATGTTCGAAGCAGTCGGGACGCCGACGCAGCTGAACGGACATTTGAAGCACCTCTCGCTGACGTTATTCCTACGAAAGGGAAACAAAGACACTAAACATATTCATTGATTGAAGGAACTATTTCTAGTGAGCAGGACTCCGCAGAGTCGCAAGAAACGCCAGAACACCTTCATGATTCGATTAAGCGCGAATGCTCAGTCATCGAGGAGGTTGTGGTCGAACCTAGGGTTTAGTGACCGAACGAAAAAGAAACAGACACTTAGTCGAACATCGCTCGGTGAGCCTGAGGCTTAGACTTAGGCTCGAGTTCACCGTCTGTGACCTTGTCATAATCCGCAAGAAGTCGTCAACGGAGTACATCAATGGGATCCTAGGAAGCTGGAGTTTCAGCATCGAGATAAGGCTGAGAGAGCAGAGAAACATAGGAGCTCTCGTCCTCATGATCAGTAGTAATCTAGTAACCGGAACAGAGAGAACGGAAGGAGATGCGATAGAGAGGTCCAGGCTGTGGAGTGTGTTAGAGCGGGCTAGTTGAGCTGTAAGGTAGGGTTGGGAGAGATAAGCGGATGTCTAGTCTTCTACCTCTTTTCATATTTCCCTATCCACATGAATAGGTTGAATATCCTAAGGTCCTTAGTCCGTGAATGGGTTATCCATATCGATCATCCCAATCGGAATGATCTGTTTCTTCTTCGCCGTTTTCTTGCAAGAGATAGAGATGGACAGCGTATGAGATGTAGATAGTAGTTATTGTCGGAGATGTGCTACTAGGAAAGCCAGACACTGAGAGAGAGAGAGAGATGGTGATGGGATGAAGAAGCTAGGCACTAAGCTATCAGAAGACGGCAGGAGCCTTGCATGCCTGAGGCACCGTCCGCGACAGTGAATTTATTCGAGAACGCTGATATGTAATATAAATCCATTCCATTCCAATAATACAACAGAAGATCTCTCTATTTACGCCACGAAGACAAACCCTATAAACTCGCTTTTGACATCACTCATCCCCACTCAGCGCGCAGACCGAAGGAAGCCCACCACACCACGACAATACCCAACCAGACCAGCCAACCGCTTCCCTTCCTGCTCCTGCTCCTTCGACCACGCAGCCAATGCCTTCCGCAGCAGACGGTACTCAAGTTCATCCTGGCCAGCGCAAAGCCCAACCGTATCGGAATGAATCTTCAAGAACACCGCCATCCAGGCATTAACCAGCTCAAAGTCCCTTCTCGACTTCAAGCGCAGGGTCAGCGCATCGATGAAGCTGGCTAGCTCCGAGAACCCGTTCTGCACGCGCGGGTTGAGGGAGCGGATTTCTAGGTCGGCGCGGGCTGGAGAGAGAGATTTCAGATGCTCGATCATGGGGTCGTAGTTGCCGGAATCATTTCCTGACTCGAGGAACTTTGTGATTGGGGAGTCAGATGATGTGAGGAAGCCGGATTGCATCTTTGAGACTCTGGAGCGCTCGGCACCGGCGGTTTGCATTAGTGAGTCTAGTTCGGCGGTGTCGGCGGTTGCGGCTGGGTTGGGCGAGGTGGTGGCGTCCTTGCCGTGAAGGGAGGGCAGGAAGAAAGGGGCCTTTTCGGGGGCCTTGGGAGCTTCCTTGGGACGATTGCGTTCCTAGATCGGTTGGTTAGCAATGATTCCATATTAGACGGGGACAGCGATGGGGTGTATTATCACATACCTTGATAGAATCAAGGTGCAGGAGGCCCTGCCATCTGCTTCGAGGAACCAGACTGAGTGTCATCATGTCCTTGCGCAGTTGGTCGGTTACAAGCACAGGTCCTTCGGTATCGTCCTGTTCGGTCTCGTCCACGAAAGCAGCCTCAACAAGTCCCGCGCCACTTTCACCAGAGGTAGTCGGCACGCCAACGTCCTCGATGACGTCTTCGTCGAGATTCTTGGTAGGTATGGACATGAATTGACTGCGGTTACTCCAGAGACTGACGCCGATGCTTCCTGCATGCGCGGTTGCGAGGAATTCTCCGGTGGAGGGCATGGCGAGAGAAGTGCAGGTACTGGACACGCGGAAGATGTCAATGAGATGCCCGGTTGGCAGGTCCCATACTCGAACCACGGAGTCCATGGAGGCAGCGATGACCCAGCGGCCATCATTGGAGAAGATGAAGTCATTCACTTGGCCGACGCATCCCCAGAATTCACGGACAAGCTTCCGGGTCTCGAGATCGACGACGCGGATTGACAGATCGTCACAGCTGAAGGCGACCAATTCGCTTGTTTTGCTGTAGCGGAGTCCCGTGACGGCAGCCATTGGGTGCCAATCCAGTTGATCGATTAATGAACCTGATAGTAGATCCCAGAACTGTAATGATGAGGACATGAGTTAGTACGGTGGGATCATATACAGGGATGATAAACTCGTACCTTGACTTTACCATCCAGACCACAGCTGACCACGGTTCGATTGAGGTTATCAATCATCAAACCTGTGACAGCCTTGGTGTGCTTGGCATCTTGTGCACTCAAAGACGACAGAGTGACTGTGTTTCGCTTCGCCAAGCCCGACTTTGGCAAGCGAGATGGGAAGCTCTGGCGATGCATACCGGACTGCATGTTGAACATATCAACAGCACCTCCTGCGGAACCAACAACGGCGAAAGTACCGCACTGTGACATTGCGACGCTCTGTTTTCTCAAGTTAGCGATACCGAGGCTCTATTCGAGCAGAATTTGAAGTACACATACCTTGACTTCAGTTCCATCGCTTGTAGCAAAAGCCCAGCGTCCAGCCTTCTTCTTACCCCAGAACCAGGTCCGGGCGAACTTGTCCCCTCGGTGACCAGTGACAACACTTTCCCAACCGGTCAAGCTAGTTGCATCGGCATTTCCACCCTTTCGGGTTGGACCAGATAGGACCGGAGGACTTGGTTCCCATGCCCCCATCACGATTCAGCGAGCAGGCCACGCAGGTAACCTCTGGCGCCTTTAATTCATCCACCATAACAGCGCTCGACCCCGACGGACCAAGCTTCTTCGCCTTGCTTTCCAAGTTACCCTGGGAAATCTCTGTATGTTGGCTATCCTTCCGCAAACTGAGACCCCAGAGACTGCAGTCCTTGCTAGCGCTGAGCAACCACTTGCCACCGGAGTCGGAGCCATCTGAGGCTGCAGGCAGGAAGTCGAGAGCACTGACGGCGCCAGAGTGGCCACCGCGAGAATGAAGAGGTCGGGGAGTAGGCGAGAAAGGAGTTTCGTCGAAAATCCAAGTCTTCAGCGCATTGTCATCTCCAGTCGAGACTAGAACGGGCTGGTTGTCGAGGAACTCGACACGGTTGACACCCATGCTGGACTCGCTCCTCGAGACTCGATGCGCGCCACGCAAGATACCAGCCACACGACCACCCTCGTTCAAGTCCCACATTGTGATATCGCCGCTCCCACTAGCTGCCGTCGCCATCGAACCTGCCTTGCGACCATCATGGCCGGCTCCGAGGCCGTCACTGCGGAAACTAATCGACGTTACCGCGGGGGTACGGGAAGAGGCCGTCCTCAGGCTGAGAACCAGTTGACCAGAGTCAACACTCAAAATCGACAAAGCACCGCTCTTGTGAGCCACGGCGAGAAGTGACAGAGCCGGGGTCGACTGCATGGCAGTCACGGGACCAGCATCTGCAGACGGCGCGGGCAGAGTGTAAACCAACTTCCCGCTGCGAAGATTCCAGATATCAATCCCACCATCAGTGCGGCCGACAAAGATCTTGTTCAGGTAGGTAGGCATATTGCACATGGCACCCGTATAAACCGATTCAGCGGACGAAGCATCCGGCGCAGATCTCGGCCGCAAGCTAGCATAATGTTCGTACGTGCCAGTCTTCCAGACCTCCAACCCACCAGTCCAGCAACCAACGACCCACGAACCAAACACCATCAATCGTTCGATGGGCGCGTCAAGAGCAGGACTGTCAAGAGCAGCAACGCGCTTACCACGCTTGAAGACCCAAATACCGCCCGAAGACCGGGGTCGCAGATGACCCCATGCGGCGAAAGTTTTATCCTGCCAGGCAAATGTGGCCGTGATGATCTCTGGTGTTTCCGGACGAGTGAGGAAGACGAGGTTCAAGCCTTTGCGCAAGTCGTAAGTTTGCAGCGAGTGGCCCACCGAGGTGGTGATCTGGTAGGTGGATTTTCCCAAGCGCACGCTGGTGAAGGGGACCGGGGTCGGCGAGACGAGTCCTAGAGTCTTCTCCAAAGGTTAGTGAGGAGTAAAATATAGGCTGAAAGGGAAGGGGATTCCTTCGACATACCCGGAACGGGGCGAAGATTTTGGAGCCCCCGCGCGCTTTGGAGCGGAGTTGGGCATCTGGGGCTCTCTTTTGCCTCTTTGCGATGGGCTGTTCATGTTGCTCATTCGCTACGGCCGGCATTGTTGCGGACGAAGATGCGATATGAGGGAGAAGTTGGGAGTTGGAGATCACCGCAGATATCAACGGGGAAAATTAGAAGAAAAATAAGTGGGTCTCCGTACTGCCGCAGAGGAAGGACGGGGAAAGCATTCAATTGGTCAATGCAATGAGATAGAGTGTTATACATAAATAAGTATGAATTAGAGTGACAGCTAGTAGTCAGGATGCTAATTTAGTTATATACACCTAGGTATATATAGATATAGATATAGATATATATAAGCCAAAGTTCCTTACATAGGTACTCTAATTAGGTACTCTACTCTATTATCGTCTACCTCCGCGGCGGAGAGCTCCAGACCGCCTTTGTCCATATCGGGGCGGATAGTGAACCTTCCTGAGGGTTAGTGTTAAGCTAGCATCCTGTTTCTAGCAGATATTCTATATTTGTTAGAGAGTATATCTAGATATATACCTAGGCATAGACTCAAGATACTCAAAATATAACCCCTGTATCTAAAAGTCATCTATCACTTAATTGTCTACCAGGGACCATCATGTTTATTACCAGATCATTCCCGCATGGGTATAATTGGATGAAACTAAACAAGGACTGACTATATTAGTATACTGAGTCTACTTATTATATTAGTAGTATACTAAACACTTTAATTCAATATAAGCAATGCTAATAACTCAATATCAAAGTGGCAAGTGCTAGGCAAGTGTGATGATTGCACCTTCCGGAAAGGGCGATCCCGCAGAATCGAATGCGGGTGATGACATTCGCCTCTCTCCATCTTCCTCTTCCTCTCTTCCACTCTTCCCTTTCTCCACATGTCTCTACTTCTCCAGTATCCCTCCACCCCAAGGGTAATTGGTCCAGTCTAGAGTCATTCTTTTTCCTCTCCATTTCCGCCTTTCGTCCTATCCTTCGCCTTTGACATTCCCCCCACCTTGCCCCTCCGCGCCGCAATCGATCCTCACCGACATGGATACCGATGACCTCAACAATGGCACCTCCACCGATGCGACGGCCAAGGCGCCATTGGACAACCTCCGATCGCTCCCTCCCATCGATCTAGATCCCAAAGATTCATCTGCCATAGACACATCACCGAAACAGCAAAATCCTTCCGCCCAGACAAAGCCCAACAAGCCCGATGCTGCCTCCTCCGAATCCCGCTCGGCAACTCTAATCGGCAACTCGACCCGGTCATCCAGTCGCGCCCCTCGAAGATTCAGTGGAAGTACTGCTGCAAGCACCGCCGCCAGCTCTATCAGTGAGGTCGATGCTGGTCCCCCCTAAGTGGAGGATTGGTGTCTGTGCCTTGGATGTGAAAGCTCGGAGCAAGCCGAGTCAAAATATTTTGACTCGCCTCCAAAGCAAAGGGGAATTCGAGGTCATTGTATTCGGCGACAAAGTCATCCTCGACGAAGCTGTCGAAAACTGGCCAGTCTGTGATTTTTTGATCGCCTTCTTCTCCGACGGCTTCCCCCCTAGATAAGGCGATCGCATACGCCAAGCTCCGCAAGCCATTCTGCGTCAATGATCTACCCATGCAGCAGGTTCTGTGGGATCGCCGACTATGCCTCATGATCCTGGACCAGATGGGAGTCCCTACTCCAAAGAGGCTCGAGGTTAACCGTGATGGTGGTCCCGTTCTCGAATCGGCCGAACTCGCCCAACATATCTACAAATTGACCGGAGTGAAGCTGGATGGTCCTGAGGATGGAACAGGAGGTGGTGCGCCCAGAACACAGAAAGTGTCCATGTCCGAGGACGGCGAGGCACTGGTAGTTGATGGCAAAGTCTTCCGCAAACCTTTTGTGGAAAAGCCGGTGAATGGTGAAGACCACAACATTCACATCTACTTCCCCAATGACCAACAATATGGCGGAGGTGGACGTAGGCTCTTCCGCAAGGTTGGAAATAAGAGCTCCGAGTATGACCCAGAGCTTTCCGTGCCGAGATCAGTCACCGAGACGGAGACGAGTTACCTGTACGAGCAATTCCTGCGAGTCGACAATGCCGAGGACGTCAAAGCCTACACCGTTGGCCCTGACTTTTGCCACGCCGAAACACGCAAGTCGCCAGTGGTGGATGGATTGGTCCGACGCAATACCCACGGCAAGGAAATCCGGTATATCACCCAATTGACCAAGGACGAAGCAGCGATTGCATCCAAAATCTCGAACGGGTTCGGCCAACGAATCTGCGGTTTTGATATGCTGCGCGTGGGAGACAGTAGCTATGTCATTGACGTGAATGGCTGGAGTTTTGTCAAGGATAACAATGACTATTATGACAAGTGTGCCAAAATTCTCCGCGATACTTTCATGGTGGATCGAATGAAGCGGTTTGGATCAATGGAGTCATTGGAGCCGCCATCGCCGGATATGGGCCCCTCCAGGAAAAGCACCGCGGGATCTCACCGACAAGCATTGAAGACTCTTCTCAAGTCCCCGAGTACATCCAGACTTTCCAGATCGCAGGAAGCAACCCCCTCGGATACATCGACGGCCACACCTTCGCTCGCATCGTCGTCTGGCCTAGAGGCTGTCGATCCCGTTCCCAACCTCGGCGCTCTGCCCCCTCGTGACAGTCACCCTGACTCTCGCGGTTACAGCCCTTCCAACACGAAATCTCCTGCCATATCGGTTCACCAAACCAATGAAGAAGCTCCTCCCCCACCACCTGCCTCTAAGCACTCATGGAAACTCAAGGGAATGGTCGCCGTTGTTCGACATGCCGACCGTACCCCGAAGCAGAAGTTCAAGTTCACTTTCCACAGTCAGCCATTTGTGGATCTACTCAAGGGACACCAGGAAGAGGTGGTCATTAAGGGTGCTGCCGCGTTGTCTAGTGTCTCGGATGCCGTGAAGACCGCCATGGAACAAGGACTAGAGGACATTGAGAAGTTGAAACTTCTTCGTACCTCCTTGGAAAAGAAGGGTGGCTGGCCTGGGACCAAAGTCCAGATCAAGCCCATGTTCCGCAAGCGCCGACCAGAAGAAATGCGTGAGCAAGACTCAGCAACGCCGACACCCACAGCAACAGCACCGCCACCGCTCGAAGCGGAACCCGAGGAGCCCATGTCGCCTATTCCCGGAGAGACACCGGAAGCTGAGGCACTGCGGATGTCGCAGACACGCAGTGATTCTATTTCAGGCCCTACCTTTTCCCGATTTTCTGCAGTAGAAAACGATCTCATTCTGGATAAGCTCCAGCTTGTCATCAAGTGGGGAGGAGAGCCAACGCATGCTGCTCGCTATCAGTCGCAGGACCTTGGGCTGAATATGCGAGATGATCTCAAGCTGATGAACAAGGAAGCCCTTAACAATGTCCGCCTTTTCACAAGCTCGGAAAGGAGAGTGAGCACGAGCGGTATGTTTTAATTCTGGCCGGGTAGAAAGCCAATGCTGATAATTGTCGATAGCACAAATCTGGGCCTGTTCATTCCTCGATCAGAAAGAGCTACCAGAGGACTTCTTGCAGGTTCGAAAGGATCTGCTTGATGATTCGAATGCTGCGAAGGATGTCATGGACAAGGTTAAGAAGAAGCTCAAGCTTCTCTTGAGAGAAGGATCTGCGCCTTCACAATTTGCATGGCCCAAGGATAGCAATGTCCCTGAGCCATCTGTTGTGCTGGCTACGGTTGTGGAATTGATGAAATTCCACCGAAGCGTCATGCGTCACAATTTCAGCAAGCTTGAGTCTGACGCAGCTAAATCTTCTACCTCTGCTTCCCCCAGCGCTGACAAACCGAGCCAAAAGGATCTGAGCGCTGAAAGCCCCGAGATTTCTAATATCCAAGGCCGTTGGTGTGCAGGAGAGGACCCCCGACTTTTCAAAGAGCGATGGGAGAAACTCTTTGCTGAATTCTGCGACACGGAGAAGGTTGACCCGAGCAAGCTATCTGAACTTTACGATAGCATGAAATTTGATGCTCTCCACAATCGACAGTTCCTGGAATGGGTATTCATGCCGCCTGACAATGACCGTGACGATGATGACCGGTGCAGCGTCAAAGGCAAAAGCTCTTCCAAATCCGACTCGACTTCTGATGGAAATGGAAAGGCCGGATCCGACTCCAACGAAAAGGAAAGGGAGACAAGTGAGGATTCGCGCTCTGAGAGCCACACATTTGCCCACCGACTCGGATTGAAGAAGCGACTTCATGTCCCGGAGTCACTGCCGCATCTTCGCGCACTTGACGATTCCTACGATCATTACTTCAAGCTTTTTCCGGGCTCAAGCTCAAACAAATGCAAAATGGACGAACGTCTGTCCAAGCTGCGGGAGTTATACAAGCTAGCCAAGGTGTTATTCGACTACGTGACACCGCAAGAATACGGGATCACAGACAGCGAAAAGCTAGAGATTGGCCTCCTCACGTCCCTCCCACTCTTACAAGAGATTGTTCGCGATCTGGAAGAAGTCCAAGCCTCTCCAGACGCCAAGTCTTTCTTCTACTTCACCAAGGAGTCCCACATCTACACGCTTATGAACTGCATCCTGGAAGGCGGTATTCAGACGAAGATTGCCCGCAGCGCCATTCCCGAACTCGACTACCTTTCCCAAATTTGCTTTGAGCTCTATGAAGCACGCGACAGCGAGTCGGATCTCAATTCTTACTCCATTCGAATCTCTATTAGTCCTGGTTGCCACGCTTTTGACCCGCTTGATGTGCAATTGGACTCTCGGCATGCTATTGGTTGTGCTCCAAGACGCAGTCTGACAACTCATCAAGACTGGACGGAGGTGATTGAGACGCTGAAGGCGAAGTTCGACACGTAAGTTTCCACCCACAGAATAAGAAAGATTCCTCTTCCAATGCTAACATCCTCAACAGAGTCAAACTTCCCAAGTCGTTCATTGCGGTCAATCTCAGTGACAAGCATATTGCTCCACAGGCTGATGAAGAGGAGAATAGCGCATGATCGCACTCGACGAATCGGAGGAATGAATTGTACGTTTCTTCTTTCTCTACATTGGACATAGGTTTCCAGATGTTACAGGACTAGGCCAGACCTCTGTATCACCACTTGTATATTTACCGTTCAGTTCAAGTTTCTGGTTCTTTACTCGGGTGGTTGGATTTGTGTATTTCTACTTTCAAGTTCGAGTTTCGGAATGGGGGGGGGCTTTGCTAGAGGTGTAGGTGTCTGTAATGATTTCAGTTTCTCTTAACTTCCAAGCCAAATAATTATAGAAATGAAAATAGAAATAAGTAAAGAGGAAAATTAAACTACCTTGAGGTAGTTATTAGAAATACTCCCCCCACTAGATCCACATGGGAAGCCTAACTTGCCCCGCTTATCAACCGCGGAGATCACGGAATCCCATTTAAATCACCGACTTCAACCTTTACCCAATCCTACAATCCCCTAAATTACCTAGGTACAATCCCATCAATCCTGAGCAAAGAAAGCCCCTCAAAGGGACCCGACCATACCATGGACTCCACCGCTACAACCATCTCCGTGGAAGACAACATCCTAAAATGGACATCCAGCGAAAGTCAAGGCCAGATAGAACTGGACCAAATCATCTGCATCGTCTCCAAATCCACCCCCAACCAAGGCCATCGAATCCTATTCCTCCGCAAAGATGAAAATCAACATGACGACATGCACCTATCCCACCTCGACCTAAACATCAACACTCCCCCCCCCCAACCTCTAACCCCGTTCCTAGCGACTATCCCACCGCACCTAAAAACCACCCTACAAATAATAATATCAACCCGCTCCGGCACCGGCATCGCCCAGTCCATCTTCGATCACATACTCCGCCCCTTTCTAAACGGCCTAGGTCTAACCTACACCACCCACAAAACAACTTCCGCAACATCTATCATCTCGCTATCAGAGACATTCCTATCCGCTGAAGCCGAACAATCTCAAACAATCATCCTCCTCTCCGGCGATGGCGGTCTAATCGATATCCTAGATGTCTTTTACAAAGCAGCCGCAGCAGGAAAGAATGTCCCCCCTCCGCCAAACATCGCCCTCATACCCTGCGGAACAGGAAATGCACTGGCCAATTCAATCGGACTACGCGATGGCTCTGCCTCGGCGATTAATCTAAAGACCCTACTTTTTGGAAACCCGGTGCCGTTGCCGGTTTTTAGGACTAGCTTTTCCGCTGGGAGTATGCTTGTTACGGATGAGGGGGGTGGGAGGGTTAATATCAACTCCGGCGCTGCTGGCGATGCTGGCGCTGCCATGTATGGCGCCGTCGTCGCGAGTTGGGGTCTTCACGCCGCACTCGTAGCAGACAGCGACACAACCGCGTATCGAAAATTCGGATCCGAGCGGTTCAAAATGGCAGCGCAGGAACTTTTGTGGCCGGCGGATGGGTCTGGGAGTCATTTGTTTCGGGGGCGGATTACGCTCACGACTGCTGCTAGATCGTGGCAGGTTCCGGAGGACGAGCATACGTATGTGCTCGCGACGCTTGTGCCGAGGTTGGAGAGGGATTTTGTTATATCGCCTGGTTCGGAGGCTCTTGGGGGGAAGATGCATTTTTTGCGGGTTGGGGGAAAAGGGGCGGATGAGGTTATGCGGCTTATGGGGTTGGCTTATCAGGGTGGGGGGCATGTGGGGGAGGAGGGGGTCTTGTATGAGGAGGTTGAGAGGGTGAGGATTGAGTTTTATGAGGATGTGGAGAGGTGGAGGAGGGTTTGTGTTGATGGGAAGATTGTTGCTGTTGGGAAAGATGGGTGGATGGAGATTTGTTTGGAGGGGAGGAGGTTGTTGAATGTTATCAAACCGTGATTTGTTTAGTTCCTAATGTGCATGATGTAAACTTCCAAGGTTGAGCTTGAGGGGCAGTGAAAGCGCTCAGGCCTAGGCTTGGTGATCATTCAATATCTAGTCACTCCTTGATGCTCTACATACAATCAGCTTGTTCCCTAGTATGGCTCTAGTTACTCCAAAATCGGTATGGCCCTGTCTACAGTATTCTGTGATAAAGTACGCTGATCCTTGTATTGTGATGTCTCAAATATAAAATGCAGACCAAGTCCCCCGGATTGTCTACTACTTTCGATAGACGCGGATGTGCATGGGTGCTGGCTTGTAGAACCAAAACCCGCTGGTCTCTAGATCTTTCTCTGGGCTTGACAATTCAAGGCGGTACGAGCGCAGCAGCTCTGGGATGACCTTATATAGTTCGCACAGCGATATCTGATCAACGGTCAGCCTACTTTAGAACCTAGAATTTATGCCAGAGTGATTGCACTTACATTCTTTCCCATACACATTCTTGACCCAGCTCCAAACTGTAAGACAGTTAACACACATTCTAAGCTTCAGTTAGATTAACTTGCCTGGAGAATATATTTATTCATCTTATCAGCATCTGGCTTCAGCCATCGATCCGGATTATATTCCTTCGCATCGTCTCCAAAGACAGTTTTATCGAGCTGCACGACAGTCGGGTTAATTCCCACACGAACTCCGCCGGGAATCCACTGCCCCGAAATGCTGCGACCATCTGATGGTACTTTTCGAGGCATTGTAAGTGCCACACTAGGATGCAAGCGAGCGCCTTCCTTAATACACGCGCTCAGATACGGCAGCTTGCTCGCTTCGTGGTACGATATAGGAAAGCTCAACTCCCCACGCCGTGTGGCCTGAACAATCTCGTTGTTGAGTGCTGCGTAAACTCCCGGGTTCTTCAAGATGTAGTATAAAGTCGTGGACAGGTGAATTGCTGTTGTATCACTTCCAGCAAAACTAAAAGGTTCTCAGTTCAAGTTCTCTCGATTCTTACCGGGTATCAATCGAACTTACTATCCCCCGAAGGCCTCGAGTTTCACATCATCGATCTGGAAATCAAGCTTCTCGCCTTGATCTCGATGAATGTTGAATACTTTGGATATAATATCAGTACGGCGAATCACACTGTCATCAGAGCTCGACGCTTGAACATGACTCTGAACAGCAGAGTCCGCTGCAGTCGCTAGGTCATCCAAGGCAGACAAGGCCTTGCGGGTCTCGGCAAACAACACCCCAATAAACATGAAGAAAGATCGAAGGTATGATGGCATGACAGCAGAAATGGCCATGGCCGGGATCAGCGTATCAGTGGACTTCATTATCCCAAGATGGTCGCCTCTTGCTTTCATCAAACCGAACATTTTGCTAAAGTAAAGCTCGCCAATAACATCGTAAGCGTACCTATTCTACTGTTAGATATCGATAAGAATGAGTTGAAATGAATACCTAGGTACTTTTGCTCACATTCGTGTCCACTCGAGTAGATCAATGGAAGCTTTTGCGTCTGCAACATCTTCAAGTTGCTGTAGTAGAACTTCTGTGCATTTATTGACGTAGGGCTCTGACTGAAGAATACTCTGCATAGTATACACGCCGTTCACGATGCGGCGCCGCTGAGCATGGACCTTTTCATCTGTTGATGTAAAATGATCTGGATATCGGGCTGTCGAGACAAATCATTTTAGTTCTGGTCAACAATGCTCATCCACCCGAAGAAATAGTATCTCACTATACGGTGCGCGAAAAGCCAGATAGAAATCGCTCTGAAAAGGCCGAGTCAGTTTCCTTCATCGAAGACAACGGTATTTTCCTCCCCTCTTTCGTCTTCATTAAGTTATTCGCTGACCTTGATAAAGCCCGAATTTACTCCATAAATGATTTTGATGGCCTCGGGGTCACTTATTGAAAGCTCATTCGGGGCAATTCTCACAATGTGGCCTGCCCAGGTCAACGCTTGAAAGAGCACATGCTGGCACTGGGTGGAGAATATTTATCGTACCATACCGTGCATGCAGCAATCTCTGGGTTTCGTGCGGATTGCCACGAATTACAGACCGCACGATCCAGGCTCGTGATACAGAGGCCCAGAATGGACCTGGAAATCGTGCGAGTGGGTGGAATACCCGCGTGTAAACAATCCAGCCGGTCCAATAGGTAGCAAGCAAAATGCCGAGACTATACAACAAATCGTAGAGTGTTAGTTTCCGGTCGAATAGTTCGAAATTTCCCATTGTTAATTAAAAGAAATTGTTAGATAATAGACTGTAGACTGTAGGAGAGAGAGAGAGTTTTCAATCCATGTCAGGTTCAAGTTTGACTCGAGTCAAGCGCAGGGAGATTAAAAGTCTGACCCCTGAAACACACCGTTTATGCTGGGGTAACGCGTTTTTTTGCATTAATTTAACCGGTTCGCTTGTATTGAGAGGCTAGAGGCGCTAAGTTAAGTCGGCTCCTACTTAGTGGGGGGGCTAGTGTCTTGAGTGGCGAGCCTTCTGATACTGTTGTGCCAGTCATTCTGTGAGATTCGTATGAATCATCAACCTATGTACTGGGCCGACACACTCGTAAATATAGATGATACGATTTGGATTCAAACGAATGTTCCTTGTCAAATTTTGGGTGTATGAAAGGCGCCATTTTTGCCGTTTATTTCGATGAATTCTCACAAGGGCCAACCATACCCCGGTCAGGCTAAAATGGGGCCAAAAGACCAGAAAACCCAAAGACCTGAACCGCCAGTTTAGATTATTTACTACATGATTCTGGCGTCACTCTTGGGTCTTTTGGATGTTGTCATTGCGGATAGTGGACAGATTCCTCTTCTCTTCCTTGTGAAGATGACTACTTCATCTAGCGACAATGAACATGCGATGCCACGAAAGGGGACCGTCATGCCCATCGCGCTGCTTTTGGCAGCAATAGATAATGCATCAAATATGCCATCCTGCGCAGTGAGACAAATTTTGGTCCCTGGCTTTGAATCGTGCTAGTATTCTACTTTGGATAGAGTGCATGGCTATTGGAAACGAAGCTTCTCCTTGCACTTTGACCAATACCACTTGTATCCGCACAGACACCTCGCTGCAAGCCAAGTTGACAGCTTGTGTGCAAATGACCTGCATCATTAAGGATATTCTAAGTAGGCCACAGCTCATTTGAAGATCGGGAAAGGAAAGCGTGATCAACTTTGCCGAGCTATCAACTAAGCGACAGCAAATGCTACGAGTACTTGAGCCATAGTCCAATCCGCAACAAGGCCAATGTTATCACCATCACAAATTCGGTATTTGGGTGGTTAGGAATTTGTTGCAACCTTGATTCGAAGTCTGGAGTTCCGGGAAGAATTTTGGTCTAGAAGAAATCTTTGTGATATTTGGACTAGTAAGAACTCATCCGCAAATCATGATGGCTTCTGTTGACTTTTGTACCTTTCCAGTGTGGGGATGCGTATACTGGAATTTTTAGTGAGTAGTTATTTCGCAGTTGTCGATGTATATTACTTCCTCCAAGGTACTAACTTTTCTAATCAAGTGGTTGATGCCGGTTACGTACGAGATATCTGGACAATATCTTTTTTCAAAAATCACCCTTATCCTGAAGGTCTGTCTACTAGTAGTTATGTAGAATCTAACACCTGTTACGAGAACTCACAACTATCTCTAGTCCAACTGGATTATCGAGATGCTCTACTATTTTGGCACGATTACCTCCATTAGACTGACAGATTTTGGTCGATTTCAGCATCACCATTGTAAGCATCATTCGCCTCAAGTCAGTGGTGACATTTTCCTATACAACCAACGCAACCTGTATGAGATATTCTCTCAATTTAAGGCGGGAGATCAAGATGATCATGTTTGCTGATATATGACGACATATTATTATGTACTAGTGCTAGTTGCATACTGGTCATTCATCGAAAGCTACACAGTGGTGATCTGTGTCAGTATGCCGGCAATATCACCACAAAATTAACAAGATTTACCTTGGAACAGTATTTCACATAGCCAACCTTGGAAGCCCTGGAGGCTGTGCTCAATTTTACTTAGCAAAATCGGCGGGTGAAAGCTAAAGTAAGTAACCTTTAGGAAAGGGGCAGTGTATATCGTCGATCCACTGCGGGATGGCCGCATCACGAGGGCACGCCTACTCCCTCTACTACTCTACTCCGTTATCCCCGGCACTTCCGAACCTCACATCCCTCCCTCCCTCCAGACCAATCCGGTCCTTCTTCTTCATATCAGACCATGGAAGCACCCTTCAATGCTGATCACCCCTCGAACTTACTCAGCTTCGCAAATCCCCCAAGGAGCGACCAGCCGCGCTGAAAGCGCTTCCCGCTACCATACACTCGCGGGTTGGCGCCAGATTCCCACGGAGTCTATCTCGGGTTCCGAGATGCTGTTAGCCCATCAGACTGGTAGTGTGCGTGTCGGAGAAATCGCCAGGTATGTTGGACCCCGATGCTCTCGTCCCGCGACGTCCCGCGACGTCCCCGCGACATCTCCTCCCCCTCGCGCTAAGCCAGCCAAGCCACTCTAAACAGACCTGACTCCAGGAGCGAAAGCTGACCATCGCATTCATTCATTCCCAGATACACCTTCACATATACACCAGGATCAGACCCAATCCTCCCCCTTCCCTCCGAACTCTACGTCCGGGTCAAAAACACCTCCGCAATCCCCCTACGAGCCGCATATCTCCATGGCCCATACACCCTCTACGCCGCCTGCTACCCATCCAAATTCGACCCCAATGCCAAGTACACCGAGCAAGACTCCGAGGGGGCCCCGCAATTCGAGCCATACCTGAAAGCCGGGGGAAACTGGGACGCAACGATTAAGATCCCGACCTATTTCGGAGATTCACATGCTCTCTCCGCAGGCCGGACTGCGCCTGGACAGGATGACAGTGTAACTTGGATCATCGAGATCGTGTCGCAGGTCATTTTCTCCAACAGCGCCGTAGTCCACTTTGAGCTATTGGTCGGCCGAGATGCAAAGTCCATGGAATTCTTTTCTAGCGGCGGGTCGTCGACGGCGAGTCTCGGTCCTCCGGGGAAATTCAATGAGCTTTGGGGACCGGGATCGCGGGGTCAGCAAGTATCTCCTTCAAATGGGATCTTTTCACAGGCTGTTACGCTTCGTGTTGATGATACGGCTAGTTTGTGGAATAGTCCGCCGCTGCCCTCGGTACCGTCACAGCCTACCAAGACAGAGACGGATGAAGTCGGTGATATCACGTCTAACTTGCAGCAGCTCGAGATGACTGCCCCCGAAACGGAAACAGAAACAGAAACAGAAACACCGGCTTCAAAGCCCTCCTCCAAGCCGCCGAAAAAGAAGATCCACCTGGTCGTACTGACACATGGCTTGCACAGCAATCTCGGCGCGGACATGCTCTATCTAAAGGAAAGCATCGACGCCGCCATGAACAAGACGCAAAAGCAGAAGCAAAAAGAAACAGGCGTCGACGAAGACGCCGAACAAGTCATTGTCCGTGGATTCTCCGGCAACGCCGTCCGCACCGAGCGCGGAATCCAATATCTCGGAAAACGCCTAGCAAAATACATCTTGCTAATGACATACCCGGACCAACCCTACTTCCCACTAAAGGGAACAAAGACGAAGCCGTTTTTCCACACTCGCAAGGAACAGACACAGACACAAGCACAAGCAAAGCCCTCCCTAGAACCACACTCCGTCCCCGAAACCCGAGAAGGATCTTCAGAAGAAGACCACCCCTACCAAATCACCAGTATAAGTTTCGTGGGACACTCGCTCGGCGGCCTAATCCAAACATACGCAATCGCCTACATCCAAAAACACAGTCCGGAATTCTTCACGCGAATCCAACCGATCAACTTCATCGCGCTCGCAACGCCGTTTCTAGGCCTGAGTAATGAGAACCCGATGTACGTTCGCTTCGCATTGGATCTAGGCCTCGTAGGCCGAACAGGACAAGACCTCGGCCTCAGCTGGACAGCGCCCAAAGTCCGAAGTGGATGGGGCGCAATCATCGGCGGTCGAGGCTCGGACTCGGGGAAAGATGCAAGTCAGCCCTCTGACCCGGGGGCAAAACCGCTATTGCGGATCTTGCCTTGTGGGCCTGCGCATGAGGTTTTGAAGAAATTCCATCATCGGACGCTCTATTCGAATGTTGTTAATGATGGGATTGTTCCGCTGCGGACGTCCTGTCTTCTTTTCCTCGATTGGCGCGGTCTTGATCGTGTCGAGAAGGCGAGGAGGGGGAATGGGATTGTCGGCACGATGGCTGAATGGGGCTGGGCTGAATTGACGGGCGCGAATTCCAAATCTTCGCCTAAATTGGCTCGATCTGATATACCCGAGCTAGGTGATGGGGATCGGGCTTCTGCTGCATCTGCGTCTGCACTGCAAGGCGAAGTCGCCATCGGAGTGAATAGCTCGAATTCAACGCCAAACGCGGAGCAATTCCTCGTTCAACACAGACCCCCTTCACGCCACAGCAGCATGCACGAATCTACGCACGAGAATACCGGGCCCTTGAGCAGTTTTCTATCTCTATTTCGAAAAGAGAGTAAACCAACCCCGAATCCCAAACACAGCACCCCTCGCGGCAAGCATGCAAAGATCTACAAACGAAGCCAGACCCTCGGATCCTTCGACACGGAAGAATCCCCCTCAGCCGTGAGAGGTAACTCCCTCTACGAAGAAGACGCCGGAGTCTACACGCCGCCCAAAACAACATTCTTCGAATCAGCGGGCGATTTGCTCATGCCGCCACTGCCACCGAGCGAATTCATCCTTGATCCGGCCGCGCGGTCCAGAACTATTTTCCACGATAGAATCTACCACCCGGACGATATCCCGCCTCCGATCCCGAAGCGACGAACGACAGCCTTCGGATCCTTGCAACACAGCAAAACGGGATCTAGTTCGAAAACAGTGCCCTCGTCAACGAGTCTAGGCGCGGGACAGAGCCAGAATCAGAACCTAGGCGAAAGCGGTCTCAAAGTTGAAGAGAAGATCGCGCGCGCTTATCACCGCGATCTCACCTGGCGCAAGGTCCTCGTTCGACTGGAACCGGACGCGCATAATAATATCATTGTGCGGCGCATGTTCACTAATGCTTATGGGTGGCCTGTTGTGAAACACCTCGTTGACACGCACTTTGGTCCGGATTCTATTTCCGAAGACGATACGCTCAATCGGGACTCTGATCGGGCTAAGTCGCCGAATGTGGGGCCAACGAGTTCGGGGGATGAGGTTGAAGGGCAGTGCGATGGGTCTGAAAGGTGTCATGCAGGTACAACTGCAGGTGCAGATGCAGGTGCAGGTGCGGGTACGGGTGCAGATACGCCTCGCGCCGAGACAGAGACAACCCAAGGCTGCAAGAACAAGGACGATCTCACCCCAACGTGCGAACGATGCGAGGCCTTCCCTGAGACCTTCGATGGCGAGTCTCATAAAACAGCCAGCACGCATGCACGTTCGCATACGGATGTTTCGCGGCAGGACTCGGCGCGGTGGACGGATCGGCAGGTCGATGAGGATAATGGTTGTGAGTCTGGTTTGGATGATGATGATGATGCGGGTTATCGCTGGTCTCCGGCTTTGAGGAGTAGTCCTGGGTAGGGGATTTTGGTAATAGAGATTGTATATAATGATACCCGAGAGACTGCCATGCTACACTAACTACAGCACAGTACAGTACAGTATAGTAGATAGTAAATAGTGGAATAAATACTACCATAGATCTCTAATCTACTACAAATATCTAGACTTCCTGACCCTAGGATGATTAGTTACCATAAGTCAACCTCCCCTGAATATAACTCCAAAATTCCTCAACAATCTCCCTCTGCCCCTTCTCCGCCCCCCTAACAGCCAGATATCTCCTTCCATCAACAGCGACCTCCCACCCACCGGGATTCCCATCAACAATCACACCCCCCGCCTCACCCAGAATAACCCAACCAGCACAAACATCCCACTCCCAACACCCGCCCTCCCAATAAACATCCACCACCCCCTCAGCAACAGCACAAATATTCAACGCCGCACTCCCCAAACTCCGAAAAGACCGCACCATCGCACCACCTTGACTCTTATCAGCGCCGAGCCTCTCAAACGTCCGCGTCTTGACGCCCCAATTCGCCCCGCCCCGATCAGAGCCCCACTCAATCGCAACAAGCGCATTTGATAGACCTGTCAGCGGGGCCGGGGTAGGACCGGATAGGGGAAGACGTGTGGTGCGGTTTTTGAACGCGCCTTGGCCTTTTATCGCGCTGTAGAGGGTTTGTGTTGAGGGGTTGTAGACAACGCCGACGGTGGGGATCTTGTTGATTGCGAAGCCGAGGGAGACGCAGGCGTGTGGGAAGTTGTGGATGAAATTTATTGTTCCGTCTATGGGGTCGATTATGAATGTTGGGGCTGTTGTTAGGGGGAGTTGTTGGGGTGTAGGTTTCTTCGCCGTGGAAGCTGGATGATATGTTAGATTGATTGGATTGGGGTGAGTAGGGGGGGAGGGGTGGGTACGCGTAGTCTGGGTATTTCTCTTTTAGGGCTGTGGAGATCATTGTTTCGACTGCGCGGTCGTATTGGGTTACTAGGTCAGCGCCTGGGGGTGTTAGTTTGGTCTTGTTGGTGTTGATGTTGATGTTGTGGTGGGCGTGGGTGTGGTACTGTTCTTCTTGGAGTCTGGACCGGTGTCTGGGAGGGCATTGTTTATGATTTCTCCGGCCTTGAAGGCTAGATCAATTAGGGTGTCGTGGATTTCATTTAGATTGGGGGTAGCCATGTTGAGGAGGTGGTCTGGTAAAGGAGATAGAAATCCGGGGAGGTGAAGTTGGGGAGTAAAGTAGTTAGTCTATCTAGTCTAGTCTAGTCTAGTAGTGTTTACCGCCCGGAGGTGACTCGGAGAAAGAGATGACTAGAATTGGCCGTTAATAGTGTAACTATGAGTATTTGGGTGAGAATATTAAGCTAATTGGGTTAATGCAATACTGTCTATCAATTAGAATGATTGAATATTGTCAATGTCAATATAGTCAATAGTAAATACAACCAAATCAACTCACCCCGCGGTGACGTCGGAGTCCCCCCCCACTTTGGCAGAAAAAAAAGATTGTCTTGGGAACTTTGCGCTTCTCTTCACTTCTACACACTCACATCCCCCAACATGCCTACAGAACTTGAAGATGTGCGTATTGAAGCCTTACCTTGATTGAATCAGAACTGACTCTGCTAGCTGGTGGAATTCCTCCACCACGGTAACACCCAGATTCGCCAGATTGGTAAGCCTGACCCTGGATGGCCCATAGGAACCACACTGACACCGTCTAGCCACTGAGAACCTGGTCGGATTCTCTACTGCTCAGCCGAGTCTCTTCAAGCGTCACCAATTACTTCCCGTCCGGGACTTGAAGCTCCTGGCCAAGGACTATTCCGTGCGTGCCTCCCCCCATCTTCCCCCGTCCAGCCACTAATGCGCCTTCTACTAGCCCATTGCGAAAAATGCCTTGACAATCCTGATCAACCTGTCCAGTGACGAGGAAGTCCTGAAGGTTCTCGCCGAAGATGATGAATTCATCGAGAGCTTGCTCTTCAAATTGACGGTCCGTCCATACCTCATACCTCATACCAGCATAACGCACCAGCGCACCAACCAAACGGATCACTAATTTGGGAACACAGAGCATCAAAGAGCCCAACGCAGACGAATTTGCAACTCTGCTCGCCAACATGGCCAAATCCTCAGCCCTACAAAAACTATTCGCCGTGAAGCGCCGCGTCCCCGAGAACGTCTCAACCTCAGCAAACGCCATCGACCAATTGATGGACTGTTTCGTCAAAGGCGCCGAGGGCGGTCTCAACAAAAATGCCAACTTCGACTACCTCTCCTACTTCTTCGCCGATCTCTCCCAAACCGAGGAAGGACGGAAATACTTTACCACCCGCCAAGAGTACGACGGCGTGGTACCCATCACCAAGCTGACCGTCTTCACGGAACACAAGAGCGATATCCGCCGCAAGGGAGTCGCCTCCACCATCAAGAATGTCGCCTTCGATATCGACTCGCACCCCATGCTTTTCGACGAGGATGCGGCCAATCTTCTTCCATATCTACTGCTGCCGATTACCGGGCCGGAGGAGTACTCTGATGAGGATATGTTGGCCATGTTACCTGATCTGCAGCTTTTGCCTCCGGATAAGAAGCGTGATAGTGACCCTACTATCATCGCTACCCATGTGGAGACCCTCATGCTTCTGACTACTACTCGGGAAGGTCGGGACCTGATGCGCCAGGTGAAGGTGTACCCGGTGATTCGGGAATGTCATATGAATGTGGATGATGAGAATGTACAGGAGGCCTGTGATCGATTGGTTCAAGTTCTTATGCGTGATGAGGAGGGTGAGGGTAAGGATGAGTTGGAGCAGACTGGACAAGCGCAGATTGAAGCGCCGCGCGTCGATGACGATAATGAGGTGACGGAGCTATTCTAGTTTCCTCGGAACAAAGGAATTAGAAGTGTATAAAGAGAAGACGAATAGATATCCATAGAATGAAAGATACATTCAATTGACTCGGTAATATCGCCAGTAATCATGAATGTAAATATGAATATAAAAGCCTAGGTACCAGGTACGTCGTATAGTTACTCGGCGGTGTGGGGCCAGCCTCACCTCTCGATATCTTCTCTTCTCTCCCACTCCCACTTCCACTCCCACACCTCCGGATTTCTCTCCATTTTCAGCTGGAATAACAAACCCTCTTTCCTTCACACAGCTCTGGGGAATCAATTCCAGCGATCTCCCCCCCGCAGCCACCCATTACGGCTGCCATTCCGCTGCAGACGCGGAAGCAGTCTTGTCCCCCGCCGCCGAGGGGCGAGACGCTTCCCGCCGAATCGGATCGAGTCAACCACAACCACAACTACAGCAATACCCAAAATCAAAATCAAAACCCAAACCCAAACCAAAACACCAACGACACTCTACCTGATCTCCCTGGTTCCCTCGACGATGGATGTGACGACTCACATCACTCCATAAACTCCCCTCCCTCCTCCCCCGGCTCCCCCGGCTCCTTCACCCATAGTGGGAGCTTCATGTCGCGCGCCCCTCTTATCCGCACCTCGCCCGCGCTGGGCTCGTCGTCGTACGGAGCCGTGCGCATGCCGCAAGAGGACTCCGATGACCCCGAAACTTCGCCCCAGTCAGAGAGACAGAGAGGTAATTGGACTCACGATTCGCGGACCAGCTCCGATAGCTGCACCGGCGGGCCCTCAAATGAGACACACCGGTCAAAAGCCCGCCGATCACATTCATCCGGTCGACGAAAAAGCAGTGGCTGGTACAGGAGGAATCGACGACCTTCCTCCGCAACCTCGGACATAGGATTGGGCGCCGATTCCAAATTCTCCTTCGCGACAGGCCTAGCCGTTCCTGGTAATCACGCCGTGCAGGAAACGCCAGCTTCATCACCATACATTACAAGTGACGAGGAAGACTCCTTGGATTTAGATGGCGACGATACCAAATCAACCGACGAAGATCCTCCGGATAACTCGCCATACGCCCAAGTTCGAGCTACGGTCCCGGCTACGGATGATATTACTCTGTCAATCAATACTCCGCGCATGTGGATTCTTTCCCTGCTTTTCTCGCTGACGGGTTCGGCGGCCAACCTCTTTTTCTCGCTGCGGTATCCTAGCGTTGCTATTACGCCGATTATTGCGCTTGTGCTCGTTCATCCGCTGGGGAAATTCTGGGACGCGGCTCTTAAGAAGACGGGTGATCCGCTTGAGGTCTTTGAGAATGGGACTTTGCATCATCGTGAATTACTCTCTGGCGAGGTTGATGCGCCGGAGATCAGTTGGTTGTCCAGGATGCGGATTTGGTTGGCGCAGGGTCGATGGAATGAGAAGGAACATGCTTGCGTCTATATCAGCAGTAATGTTTCGTTTGGATTTGCTTTTGCGACAGATGTGAGACTCCCTCAGCCAGCTCGCGCATTTTGATCCCCTCGGTCCATATTTCCATACACGTGGAACCAATTCTTGTCTCATTCTAATACTGAACAGGTCATCGTGGAACAACACAAATTCTACCAGCAGGAAGTTCCAATCCTATACCAATTGCTGCTCATCATCTCCACGCAAGTTCTTGGATATGCATTCGCCGGCCTCACAAGGCGATTCCTCGTCCGACCTTCTGCCATGATTTGGCCGGGTACTCTCATGTCGACTGCGATGTTTTCGACCATGCATAAGAATGCCAATAAGAAGGCTAATGGGTGGAGTATCTCTCGGTATAAGTTCTTCGTCGTCGTTTGGACGGGTGCCTTTCTCTGGTATTTCGTCCCGGGTTTACTCATGCCTGCGCTGAGCTACTTTAACGTGATCACTTGGTTTGCTCCGAAAAATGTGGTGGTATCTAATCTGTTTGGAGTTGCATCTGGCTTGGGAATGTTTCCGTTGACGTTTGACTGGGCTCAAATTGCCTATATTGGATCTCCGCTGCTGACGCCTTGGTGGGCTGCTGCGAACATTGTGACCGGGTTGGTCATTGTTATTTGGGCCATTGCCCCGATTTTGTGTAAGTGATGGATGCCGTGTGCTCAGGGGTGGGGGTGTTTCTCCTTTCATTTGTTTGCTGACTGGTCTACCAGACTACAAAAACGTGCTCTTTTCGTCCTATATGCCCATTCTCTCCGCGGCGGTATTCGACAACACCGGGCACCCATATAATGTGAGCCGGATTTTGACTCCGGACTTTCTCTTCGACCAAAAGGCCTACGAGGACTACTCACCTGTGTATCTACCTATCACATACGTCTTGTCTTACGGTGTTCAATTCGCCGCCCTAACCTCCCTGGTCACCCACACTATCTGCTGGTATGGAAAGGATATATGGCAACAAACACGCAAAGCATTCGAGGAGCGCCGAGAATTACCCGGAATGGAGACCTACGAACCTCTGCGAACGGAGCAAGTTCCTCCTCCGGGGCGTCGGAACTTTGATTCCTCGGGAGATGCCTCTCAAGATGCTAACCGGGAGATGCCTTTGGGCATGGAAGATGTCCATTGCCGTCTTATGAGGCGCTACAAGGATGCCCCTATCACATGGTATCTCATTGTGCTTGTCACAATGTTAGCCACAGCAACTTTTACCGTGGAGCAGTATGTTACATTGCCTTTCCCTCGGGCTTTCAGCTGAGAAATTCTAACTTCTTCTTCAGCTACCCCGTACACCTACCCTGGTACGGACTATTCCTCGCCCTAGGCATAACCTGCATCTTCTTCATCCCCGTCGGCATCATCATGGCCGTCACAAACCAACACAGCAGCCTCTACCTAATCTGCCAACTAATCTGCGGCATCGTTTTCCCCGGTCGCCCCGTCGCAAACATGATCTTCGTGACATACTCCTACATCAGCTCCGCGCAAGGGATAAAATTCTCCTCCGACCTCAAATTAGGCCACTACATGAAAATCCCACCACGCATCCTCTTCGGCGTCCAAATGATGGCAACTCTAGTCTCAAGCCTGACTCAAATCGGCGTCCTAAACTGGATGTTCACCCACATCCCCCTTCTCTGCACGCCCGAAGCAATGAACGGCTTCAACTGCCCAATCGCCCGCGTCCACTTCAACGGCAGTATACTCTGGGGCGTCGTCGGACCGCAGCGCTTCTTCGGGCCCGACGGCCTCTACCGCCCGCTCGTGTGGGCATTCCTAATCGGCGCGCTCGCACCGTTGGCAGCGTGGCTGCTTGGCCGACGCAGCCGCAAGAGCTTCTGGCGCAAGGTCAATTTCCCCATACTCTTCGGGAGTCTGAGTTGGATTCCGCCGGCGACAGGTTTGAATTTTTCGATCTGGGCGCTTGTCTGTTTTGTGTTTAATTATGTGATTCGGAGGCGGAGGACGGCTTGGTGGGAGAAGTATGCTATGACGCTTTCGGCGGCGTTGGATTCGGGTCTGGCTTTTGCGGTTATTGTGGTCTTTTTTGCATTTATTTATCCCGGTTGGGTTGATGGGTTTAAGTGGTGGGGGACGGAGATTTATAAACAGGGGTGTGATTGGGTTGCTTGTCCTTATAAGCGGTTGGAGCCTGGGGAGAAGTTTGGACTTTAATGGCATTGCCTTGGCTTGGCTTGGCCTTGGAGAGGGAAGTATCATGATCATGAGCATGGTTGATGACCTGGATGACCTGGATGACTCGGAGAAGTCGTTTGTATACGAGCCGGGTATATAATAGTGTACTGTATACTGAATGAATGATGCTACGAACTGTTAGTTGATGGAGCATGATGGAGACAATATTGTAGAATAAACTTTAGTATCTCTAAGTCTTTCTTTGTATTAATTTGATCCAACTAAAGGGAAAGAAAATGTCTCATGCTGTTCTTCCTTGTTCATCTGATAATCTCTTTGTTCAGCCCCAATGCCAAGCCCGCTGACTAAGTCACCGTCACTGACCTCACTTCACCTCACCTCTCACTCACCTCCTCCCCATCAACAGCGCCATCTCTCCGATGCGCTCCCCTGTTTGATCGAGAGACCCGACAAACTTGACCAAACCATTCTCTATCACACACCATGTCGACGCCAACAAACCCCTCAAACGGCCGAACGCCAACCGGGCCAAACGGAGCTCCGCCAATGCGAATGCGTCGCCCCAGACAAGCAGACCCCCTCGTCCGTCCAAAGCGAAAAGGAGCACAAAGGGCCGCAACAAGTGCACCAGGCGGTCTCGCCCCGCCCTCTCGACCAGGAACCCTCCGTCAAATCCCCGCAACATCAATCAAAACCCTCCCAACACGCCCCCAACCAAACCAAACCTCCACCCCAGAAACCCTCACCCCAGCCCAAATCCCACCCAACGCCAACGCACCCGCCGACCACTCCGTAAACGGCTTCAGCGGACCCCTCCTCTCAACATCCTACACCGACTACCCGGTCGTAACAACCAAGCGCGCCCTCCTAGAAGGAATGAAACACCACATAGCGCGCTTCGCCGCAAAACGACCCGTCGACCCACGCGACGAATCTCAATTCACGCGTCCAGTCCGCCTGCACCGCCGTGACCCACGAACCAGAACCCAAGAACACGAGCGCCTCGGACCAGGCGGCGAACAAATGAGCGAAGCCGACAAAGAAGCCATGGACGCAAAGCGCGCCCTCCGCGACAAAGAGCGCGCCGAGAACCAAGCCCAGATCGCCCCGGCAGCAGGCTCAAGCAAGCGACCCAATGCGCCGAAGCAAAAGACGCAGCAGGTCTTCAAGAGCGACATGACGGCGGAAGAACTGGCTCGCGCGCGGGTGCGGTACGAAGAAGCTCTCCCGTGGCATTTGGAGGACTTTGATAATCGCAATATCTGGGTGGGGAATTACGAGGCTGCGCTTTCGGAAACGCATGCCGTTTTCATGTTTGAGGGTGGGAAAGTGCGCATGATCCCTGCGGAGAAGTGGTACAAGTTTAGTGCGAAGAGTCAGTTTAAGGCGCTTACTATTGAAGAGGCGGAGAAGCATATGGCGAAGCGGATCAAGGATCCGAGGTGGTTTATGGAGAAGCAGGCTGAGATTTTGGAGAAGAGTCAGCTTGATCAGTATGCTAAGTCGCGGAAGGTGTTTTTTGGGAAGCAGGGGACGCAGAATGGGCGGGAGGGGCTTGAGGCTGGGGAGATGGATTTTGAGGAGGATCGGTTTGCGGATGATGAGGAGCATGGGGATGATTTGTTTAATGAGCAGGATGAGGATGCTAAGGCTGCGGAGAAGAGGATTAAGGAGGATCAGCTCAAGGCTAATGTGTTTGATCTGAAGAATGAGAAAGATTATGAGGAGGAGGAGAAGCGTGAAAAGTGGGAGAAGGAGGCGAGACACGTTCAGGGTAAGAAGGTGCGGAAGGCGTTGAAGAAGCGTGAGAAGAATTATGACTATAGTTCTGGCTCGGATTTTAATCCTTACACGGATGAGGAGGTGAGAATATCCTGCCCTGCCATACCTTGCCTCTACACACGGGGCTTGGTTTCCATATTCCAGAGTGAAGTCACCCGTATCTAACACCTCACAGAGCTCCGACGACAGCGAAACCGAACGCCAAAAAGAAGAAGAAAAGAAAAAAGCCGAAGAAGAAAAGAACGCTCAAAAAGACTCCGCCTCGTCAAAAGGCAACAACACCCCCTCCGGCCGCCCAAAGCACACCGACCCGCTCAAGAAATCCGGCCCATCGCGCAAACGCCTCGGATCCCCCAACGGCTCCGACGCAAGCGGAACAGACACTTCGCGTAAGAAGGCCAAGAACAAGCACGCCCCCACACCGCAGCCCACATCGCGACCACTTTCGCCATCTGCGCAGGGCAAGAAGCGCGTTCGCAATTTCCCGCTTGGCTCGGGCTCTGGCAGTGATGTCGATATGGCTGGTTCGGGCGCGGAAATGAGCGAGGGTAAGCCGAAGAAACTCAAGTTGAGTCTCGGGTCCAGGACTGGAACGCCGGTTGGGTCGAGGGCTGGTAGTCCTATTGCTGGTGGAAGGAGTTTCTCGGGAAGTCGGGCTAGTAGTCCCGAGGGTGCGAGAGGTAAGCAGAAGCAGAAACAGCAAGTATTGTATGCGTTGCTAACTGGGAAATACAGGTCGATCAACACCTGTTCCGGCAGGAAATCAACCCTTCCCCACGCCTGCGGAAATCCACGCCGCCATCCCGGCAACGGGTATTCAGAGTAGTGATCTGTTGCGGAAGTTCCGGCCTCGCATTGGCGATAGTAAGGAGAATCATAGGAGATTCATTGCTATTGTCAAGGATGTTAGTGTCTACATTAAGGAGACGAGGTTGTTGCAGCCTGGTCCTTGGAAGGAGTGAGGAGAGGAGAGGAGAAGGGATTCACAGAAAGTACAGCAAGCAGAACGGAACAGAGAGGAGATGGGCGTATCTAGGTGAAGGGTGATTCGAGCTGGACTGGACTGGACTGGACTGGACTAAGATAGAATGGAGTTCTGTTCATGTTTGTGTTCATTCAAGGAATATAAGCTTGTATGATAATAAAAATGCTTCTAGGGGCCATCTTAACTAAACTGAGCCAAAGTTGAGCTGAGCCACAGGGCTCAATATAAACGCAAATGAATTTGATTTGGACAGACTTTCCAGGTGTTTGATTTGATTAAATTTAGACTCCGAATCCAGAGCCTAGCCTTAGTCCCCGAAGCAACCCTAACCCCAGCCCTGAGCGAGATGTACCCCCCCTGTGTAATCTGTCCAAGGTACCCACGGGCTATAGCTAGCCCCATTTTACACCAGAGGTAGTAAGATACATCATATCCAACTTCCCGGATTATTATCTCATATCGTAGAGTCTTCATACCATGGCATATCACTACTACTAGGGACTGATGTAGCTACCGTAAATAATGAGTAACCGATTCAACCTTGTAATTTCCCTTAGACAGACAGTATATTAACTCGTCTGCTATCACTATTAGTACGGCATGCTCGAAGATCGAATCCTCGTAGGCTAACTGTCAGGTGGCTACAAATTGCTTCTCCGTAGGTCATTCTTTAAGCTTTAAGTTGAATCCTAACAAACCTGGAGTCTCATATATTGCCTGCTAGACCAAATCCTGACTTTTTTTTTGAGTATAATCAATTAATCCCTTCGTAGTATCACGAGGGGTGCCTGGGTGATGCTCTAATACTACGCCACCCTACCCTGTAACTCCCACAGTTTCGTAAACTGACATCGATACATATACTACTATACTATATTATAATATTCGAGATGAAACCTTGGAAAAGAATTTACTTTTTGTTCTATCAAGGAAAACACAACGATTGACTATGATATGCCATTAAATAGGATTAGATATCTTGGGATCCCACCGAAGAATTGATCTTCCCTCCATATCTGAATAAGCCAACCTAACTTTGACTTCATCGGCAGCTTGTCCCATTCTGCTCAGAGACTCAATTTGATCCCTCTCGATTAAAGAGTCTTCAAGTCCATGGTACAAAAACGGAAGGACAGATGACTTCCAGAGACCCATCTTCTGATGTGTGTTTGTGAGTGCAGTTGAGACAAGAAGAATGATCCCAAGTAAGATAAGTACACCCGGAAGCGTTAGCCAAGCCCAGTTGACAACAACATAATACTCCGGGCTTGACGAAGTTCCACTGATTGTTGCGTTGCTGAGGTTGCGGGCATATTTTGAAAGCGATGCCGCTAGATTTTTCATCACTTGCTCTAGGCCTGACTCAACGATCTTGCGAAGTTCTTTTGATGGCAGTGGAGCATTGGAAACCCCCGAATTTGCTCTGCTCAATGGCTGCGAGTTGTTTTCAAAGGTCCACCTCGCCTGGGTATAGCCTGACATATCCAGGTTTTGATGGAGGTACATTGACCACCATTGACCAGAGACATCGTAGTCGCAAAATTCATGTTGAGCAGAGTTCATGACCTCCACAGTATCATTTCTGTAAACAATCGTGGTCAGGTCTGTCAAGGGCTCTGAATTTGGTTTCCAACATATGGTGGTGGGATCTAGACCAAAGGTGGTTGGCAAATCCTTCTCTCTTTGGACCCAGAATGAGCCAAAGTTGGGCTCTGATTGCGTAACTGATGAAATTCCGTCGTTGACTGACACATTATAGGTTTTTAGGCAGAGGGACAAGAGACACTCAGTGGCTTTCTCGATACGAGGAGTCAGTACGGGGTGTTGGAAGGTTGCATTGGCCCAATTGCTCTCGAGGGTGATTTGGGAATGTCCATATACAACTATAGGGTTTTGCACGCCTAAATATGTTTTGTTGGACAAACGATACTTTCCACCTGGGCCAGACAAGAGATCCTGATGGTCAAGAAGCCAGACATCCTGGGGATAGCCGAAATAGACCTGCTTCAGGCCATTGGACCTACCTACGATGTCGACCTCCACTGGTGTCTGCGACCATGGTCCATCCGGTAATGAAACATTACACGGGGAATAACTTGCCTTAAATTGAGTGTATTCAACGTCAACTTGAAGATTAATTGAAGAGGTATCGCATCCGTGGAGCTGCGCGCTATTGGTAACATCTTCGCATTTGTTACATAGCTCAACCGATTGGAATGTTGGCCATCTGCAGTTACCTGACGGGCAAGGTAGATCATAACCGAAATCACTGGTCCAAAATGCATTTTGAAAAGCCGATACGTAGTCAAGACTCTCATAGTTGGGTATAAAGAAGCGCGATTGCTTGATCTTGGTCGCATTTGAGGGATGTTCAACCTCCTTGATATGATATGCGATAATTTGTTGAACGAAAGGCTCAAATGCGAGTGCTAAAAGAGTTATTGAAGCACCGATGGTCACTAGTGAGCGGAATTTGTCATGAAACATTATTTGAATAGCGCCCCATGGTCCTCGGCTAGCGCTGTCGTATATTTGGACGTGAGATAATGGCCTTGGGATATTTTGAAAAGAGATCCATCTCAACTGGGATATGCACTCGCCCACAACATATAGCAATGATGATTTTGATGCTATTGAGACTGCTGCGATTATTGCATTCAAGGTAAGTCCATACGAAAGTGTTGGTTTCGGCTGTTGATTATAGATCTGTGAAGCTTTAGTATTGTATAAAGGCTTTCGTACTAGCTAGCCTCTGAAGTCACATACCTGTAGGATGAGAAAGATCGCGATAAAGCATATGAGACTGAAGCAGATCGCAATCGTCTCGTAGAACCATGTGTCGAGAGTCATTGATCTCCAGGACGTCCAGCTTGAGGCTTGAATAGGGTTAGATATCGTTGTGGGCCCATACTCCTCATTGCTGAGACGCTTCTCCCTCTGAGAAAGGTCTGTCTTGGGGTGTTTTCTTTGTCGTGGTCGAAGAAAAAAATAACCCAAAAGCAATTACGAACAACAGTAAACCCCCCCATGGTAGCTCCTACTACAATACCAGCTTGTGTACTTGTTGACAGAACTGAATGATTTGTGCTAGAGGCTGATGAAGTGGTAGACCGATCACTCAAGCTCCATGTCACCGACACATAATCGCTATACACGTAACTGGCATTCGCTTTTAGGTTTTCTGTAATCCCCGTATGACTTGAACTGGTCCCAGGTGTATATATAGTGGTCATCGGCAATTTTGATCCGCATAATGTTGTGGTTATCGTTGAGGAACCGTGTAAGTATACAGAAGGTTCAGCATTGTAGCCTCTAGAAAGCCACTTTGATTAGCACTGGGGTTGTACATCATAAAATCAGTATAGCATACGTCGGGCAGCACAATCCCACTATCTGGGAGGAAACATCTTCTATGAGATACGTTCTGCTGGTAACGATGGAATATTTGCTTGGACAAGGAGGATGAGTCGGAGTCGCCAGAGCTGAAGTTATTGTAGGAGTGAATGCGGCAGACATGCCGAAGGTACATTATCACTTCCGCGCAGAGATGCAGAGATGAACATCTAGATAGAATATACTGCGAGTGAAAGTTTTATAAATGAAAAGGGGAAATGGAGGCTGAAATGCTATTGTTCGCCAACTGGGTTTCATTTAGCGCCCACGCTAAACACACAGATATGATTGTTCATACAGGGTCAGCGCCAGCTCAGACAGAGCAAAGCCAATAAATTATTGGATCAACCTGAGATCATCACCGAGATTGCCTTAAGAGACTAGATCTGATTTGAAAGATTCAAATTCCCATGTTGTCTCTAAATATACCCCATTTAGTAGTAGAAATAATGAACATACCAAGGCCGACATCAGAACGTACCGAAACGACATCCAGCTGCGCCAACCTCACTGGTTTCTCTATCCAGACCTGCATTTTAGAGACTTCTCTCAAATTATAACAAAGTCCCTAGATGAGGATTATCTGTTGACTTTCCGTATTGATTTCTCCAGCCCTCAAGCAATCATGATAATTAAGCGCCTAGCCCCCACCACGGATGCATCCTAGGATACAACTGTTGGCCCCACTTGAAGCCTTCGGGGTTATAAAGCCAATCTGCATTCAACCATAACTTGAAAGCTGTTGGTCATACACTTTTCTTATTCTTTCAAGTTCCAGAACTTGGGCTTCTAAAGACCTGTACAATCATAGACTATCACTTAGTCTGATTCTAAGCACCCTCATTAAAGTAGCAGCACCTAGTTTAGGAAAGCCCTACATTGGCTAGTAGGAAATATGTTACGTATACCTACTTAGGTAGGTAATGACCTCGATATTTAGACTATAGTCCTTGCCAATCCCGATTAGTACTATGTATAACTAGGTACTAGTACTATTGGCAAGTACTAGTACCGAAATATCTACTCCAATATCACTGCGACTGAGCTTCTTCCACTTCCACTTCCGACTCAGACTCAGACTCAGACTCGAGTCTATACTGAGTACCAACCAGATCCAGATACGGACCAACAAGTTGATCACATACCCCCCAAATCCGCCTCCGATTAGCAACACCCATAAAAGGACCCTTTATCCCTACCCTCGGCGTAGTAGTATGATACGCCCAAGCAAAGAGATGCGAAAACGAGATTTTCGGAACTCCAACAGCCACAGTACCGAGCGAGTCTAAGAAAGAGTGAACTTCAAAGAACCACGGCATATCTGTCTCGAATCGGCGGCGCCAGTATGCGAAATTTCCACCCAGACCACGGCGTAAAGACGGCGAGGCCGAAATAAGATTTAATAATGACTCAGGATAAAGTTGAGATGTGAGAAGCGGTAGTACTTCAAGCAGGAGAACAAATGGATCCGACGAGTTCTCCATAGTATGCGAGTTCGAGTTCGAGTTCGAGACCTCTACAGACGATACCATCTCATCCCACATATGATTCACATTGTCGTGGATATGGACTCGCTTCCCAGGATCCGCGATAAAGAGTTCTTCGCCGGAATTTACAAGCCAGTGTTGATCTTGCGGTGGACCAGGTCGTCCATAGTCAATATCAAGCTGTGCGTAATCCTGCAAATGGCGGAAAACACCCCACAAAACATCCAAATCCAGATCCAAATCACCACTGGTATTGGAATTTCCAGCCCGAAACGCAACAGCTTTTCTCAGCAACTCAAAGCACCTAGGATGAAAAGGAAAAAGCGGATTCTCCTCACACTGATCATACGCCGCATACTCATCCAAACTCTCCGGTGCACTCTCAGCACTTCCCGGCCCCGCATAAACAGCCCCATAACCCCCCCTCACACCCAATATCAGAAAGAAAAGCCCTCCGAGGGCGATGCTCAAAATTCACACCGAGACATTGGAGATCTTCGGACCAGGCTGCGTCTTCTTTGGATATAATGCAGGGGTCATAGGTATTGTCTTCGTCTTCGCTGGGGAGGGACTCTGCGTCGAGATTGTTTTCTCCTGCGGCTGTTTCGGCGTTGAAGGTTCTGAAATCGATTTTGTTGGTTGGGGAGGTGGATGTTAGTTTGTTAAAGGCGGCGTCGCGTTGTTGGCGAAAGAGGAAGCGGGGGGTGCGTTGTTTGCGGGATATGAGGTCGGGACCGTGGAAGGTGGAGCCGCATATTGCGCAGTAGTAGGACCATGAGCCCATTACTTGGTTTCGAGTTGATGGACCTGTAAAGGAGGAATTGGGGAAGTGGAAGTAATGGGGCTGGTAATAACTTGGATGGCGTGGTCCAATTTAGGTTGATGTGAGTGGGTGTTTTTATCTTGGCATTGGGGTCGGAGACCTTCAAGTTAAGATTGAAATTGAATAGCTGAGGTGGTAGTAGTAGGTATCATGATCCCTTGGGCTATACGGAGTAGACTATACATCATGACCTACCTAAGGCTACTAATACATATAACTGAATTGAAGTAGAAAATAACTTGAATAAAACCTAACATTGAAATATACATGCAAAAACGCCAATATCACAAAGACAAAAGACATCATGTCACATCACGACCCGACGGTCTTTCTATGGGAACAAAAAAAAAGAAAACTTCACACACACACATTAAGTAATTCATCCTCAACCCCATCTAAGCACGAGCAGCAGCATCACCCTCCTCATACTTCTCCCAGTTCGCGAGAATAGCGGCGATGCGGGGAGAGTTAGTCAGGCGATAGACATCCTCGAAGTACTCCTTAGTGATCTCGAATGGTCGGGCCGTGACGTTGGGGATGTACTTGCCGACCAACTTGCTAGGATCAATAGTGGTCTTGTTGATCTTCTTCAGCAAGAAGGAGCGGAAAGGCTTGACGCCGGAGCGCAGGAAGGTACTGTGGAAGGGGACGTCGATGCCCTTGAGCGGGATGGTAGCGAAGCCACGCTCCAGGTTGATGGGGCGGGGCTTGGCCTCGGTTTGCTTGACGCATTCTCGGATGATGCTGACGAGGTGGTCCTTGACGTCTTCGATGGACATGCTCTCCATCAGGGCGGGGATGTCGATGTTCTGCGCCTTGAGGAAGTTGAGCAGGTTGGTAAGGCAGTCAAGGGCGCGGAGGTCACCGGCTGCGACGTATTGCATGTTGGCGACGTTGTAGTTGACGATCTCCAGCAGCCAGCCGGTTGTCTCGGAGATGTTCTCCACGACGTATTGCAGGGCTTGCTCGTTGAAGGTCTTGGAGATACGGCTGGGGTTGACGGCGCACATGGAGTAGTTGGAGCGGCCTTGGGCGTCACGCTCGACGGCGACTTGCATGGTCAGACCACGGTAGAAGACGACGGAGACGAGGGACTCGATGGGCATGACATCGGCCAGGGCGGCAAGAGCAGAGTATTCACCGAGAGAGTGACCGGCGAAGCTGCTGTCGCGCTGGACCAGACCCTTGGAGCGCATGTCCTCGAAGGAGGCCTTCTCCATGAGGGTGAGAGCGGGCTGGGTGAACTGGGTAGCGGAAAGCAGACCGGTGGGAGAGCGGTAGGTGTAAGAGGCGGTGGTCTCGTCGACCTCCTTGAAGATCTTCTCCGACTTGATGGAGCCGTCGGCGTTGACGGACTCGAAGGTCATCGAGATGTAGTTCTGGCGGATGGCCTTACCACGGGGACCACCGAAGTAGACAGTGAGCTCCTTGGGGTTGTTCTTGACGATGTCGATGATGGAGAGACCGTAGTTCTCGATGAAGTGACGATCAGCACGGTCCCAGACCTCCTTGGCAACGGGGCTGCTGGCATAGAGCTCCATACCCATGCCCTGCTCCTGGGAACCTTGACCAGTGAAGACGTAGGAGGTGATGGGCTGCTCGACCTCGGCCTCGCCGTCCAGAACCTTCTCCTCGGTCTCCTTGTTGAAGGCCTCGACCTTGATGAGCTTGCGACCAGCGATCATACCGACGTGCTGAAGCTTGACGGTGATCATGTCATTGGGCAGAACCATGCCGACCAGGGAGACGTGGAAGCCACGGACCCGGCCGATGTTGTTCTCGGCAGCCCAGGTCTCAACCAAGCTGCGCACGGCGGCACTGCTGTACATGCCGTGGGTGATAGTACCGGGCAGGTTGGCATAGCTGGAGAAGACACGCGACACGTGAATGGGGTTGTAATCGCCAGAGACACGAGCGTAGGTCTCGTTGGAGGCCGGGGCACGCAGCTCCAGAGCGGTCTTGCCACTGAGAGGGATGGGGTTCTCGAAGTGCATAGGCTGCTCGATGGAGTTACCGTTACGCTGGAGGTAGTCGATGACAGGGTTACCGTGGGAGGCACCGGCCTCGTACTCCACGGAAGCGACCTGAACAACCTCCTTGGTCGGGAGCTCCACGAGGACCTGACCGATGGTCTGAACATTGCTGAAGACAGTGGTGTTCTTGAAGCGGATCAGAGACTGCAGACGGAAAGTGAGGGTCTGGCCGAGCAGCTCGATGTCGCTCTCATCCACGCGGAACCACTCCTTAGAGCGGAGGATGGCGACGTCGCGGCTGGTAGCCAGGTGGACCTGCATGGGAACCTCCTCCTTGCGCTGGAAGGTGTTCTCAAAGTCGGTGTAGGCACCGCGGTACAAGAACTGGCTAGTGACGTGCATGATAGCCTGGCCCTCGCGCTTGATGGTACCGCAGACCTCGACCATCTTGCCAGACTCGTTGTTGATGACAGCGTTGATCTGGGCGGTGGTGTCGAGAACATCGCCGACCTTCAGGGGCTCGGCACCAGGAACCATCTTGAAACCGTTAGACAGGTGGACCAGCTTGAGCAGATCACCGTCGATGGTACGGGGGAAGATGGGCTTGGTGATGGCCTTCCAGCCAGCAACAATGGCAAAGTCCATAGGAGCGTAGACTTCCTTGCCGGGGCGGTCGACGAAGGCCTCGCCGGTGTTGCCAACGGCGTGGACGAAGTCAGCAACAGCCTGCGAGGTGATGGTCTCGGTTCCACCGTTGAAAGTGGCAGTGGTGGGGGTGTCGAAGGGGACATCCTTGTTGCCGAACCAGATACGGTAGTAGAACTCCTTGATGCGGTCGTTGCGGTCACCCATAACCTCACGGATGGGGGCGTAACCGGTCTCCGGGTGGTAAGTGAAGAGGAAGTTCAGGGGAACAACGCCATTCTCGGCGGTGCGGCCCTCGAACAGGGTCAGGCTGACCTGGCCGTGCTCGTTCACCTTGGCCTCGACGGTCTTGACGAGCTTGCCAGACTGGTAAGGCTCACGGACGGTGATGACAGTCTTGGCAGGGGTGTTGGGGTTGGTGATCTCAACGTAGAGGCCGCCACTGGGGGCAACGATGCGCTTCATGGGGTTGGTCTGGAAACGGTGACCCTGAACGTAGACATCGGCCTGGAAGAGGGCGTGACGCCAGGAGTAGGAATCGCCGGCGAGGAGACGCAGCCACTGGTCATCATCGGGGAGGACGGCAGAGGGGGAAGCGGACAGGCGGAAGCTGATCTTGTTGGGCTCCTCGGAGACAGTGAGGCCATCCAGCTCGGGCTCATCCTCAGCGTTGGACAGTCTGCCACCAAAGTACTCGATCATGGGGATCTTAGACTTGTCGCCACCGTAGACATCACGGAGCAGGCCAGCGATGTGACCGTTGTGAACGCCATCGAGGATGTCCTTGACAGGCTCATCCATGATCTTGGAGAAGCGAACGGCCATAGGACCCTGCAGAATACAGGTACGACCGACATCCTGGTCAACAACAGCCTCGAGATCCTCGCTCTGCCACAGAGAGTCCTTCTTGAAGAAGTACTCAAAGCTCTCATCCAGAACAGGGACGAAGGGAACGGGCTTCTGACCACGGCGCTGGCACAGGAGAAGGAAGTGCTGGACATCCTGAGCGTTGATCAGCTGAGAAGCAGCCTCGGGGTAGGCGGCCAGAATGTTGTCAACAGCGGGGTAGGGGGTGTCCAGCTCGGAGTAGTTCTGCAGAAGCGAAGCTTGGCCGTTGGCGGTGGTGAAACGCTCCTCGACACGGCGGAGGAAGTCACCAGTGAGACGCTTCAGCGAGTCGTCGATCCAGCGAGACTCATGCTTAACGTACATGAGCTCGACCATACGGTGGACAACCTCAGCGTAGGTCATATCCTCCAGATCGACGGTCTCATTGGCAGCGTTGCGGCCGAACCACACCTTGTGGAAGTCATCGTTGAGCTTCTTGATGATGTAGTTGCGCTGCTTCTTCAGCTCGGGAACACGCTTGGCCTTGTCCAGCTTGAAGATCTTCTGGTCCATCTCCTGCCAGAACAGAACACCACGAGTGGCGAGCTTGTGAATAGGCTCGCCCATCTCGGACAGAACGGTGATGACACCACCGGTAGCGCCCTTGTAGGTCTTCTCCCACTCCTCATCGTCAACACCGGGGGCATCGACGATGGCCTTCTTAGCGTTCTTGGAAGTGTGGGCCTCCTTGGCGACCATCACACGGGAACCGAAGAGACAACCGTCGAAGGGCATGGCAGGGTAGCCGAACTTGCCGGACCAGGTACCGGAGAGGTAAGGGTAGGTGTCCTCAGAGCCACCGAAGCCACTGCCAGCAACCAGAACAATGTTGTCTTGCTTGCGGATACGGCCGTACATCTGGAGGATGGGCTGGTGGAAATCCTCGAAGGAGTGGTGACCACCGCCACGACCACCAGTCCACTGGAGGAGAATGGGGAACTTAGGGTTGGCCTTGGCGATGTTGATGACCTGCTGGATAGCATCGACGGAACCAGGCTTGAAAGCGATGTGCTTGATACCCAGAGTCTCGATGTACTCGTTGGCAACCTCAATGGAGGGCACACCGGCACCGATGGTTAGACCCTCAATGGGGACACCGTCAGCACGCAGGCGACCGATAAGAGGGATCTGCCAAGCCATGGCACGGGGGTTGACATAGATCAAGTTGATGGTGATACCACGGCCAGGGGGGATGACCTTCTCGATCTTGTTGACAGCAGCAGTCATCGTCTTGGCGTTGTAGTAACCACCACCACCCAGCTCAATGTGGTAACCAGCGTTCATAGTAGCAGCCACGAAGTCCCAGGCGACAGTGGTGGGGGTCATACCAGCAACCATGACAGGGGGGATACCGAGCAGGCGACTCATCTTGGTGTCGACGTAGGTCTGGCCGGTGGAAGTCTGCACGAGGCGAGGACCATGCTCCTTCACCCAGTCAGTGGCATACTTGACGGA